TTGCTTGTAGGGTTTCAGTTGAGAAATCTGGAGTTATTCTGATGGGCTTTCCTTTGTATGTTACTTGTTTCTATTGCCTTACAGCTCGTAGAAGGGCCTCTTTAGTGGCTATTTTGGTCAATCCAATGACTGCGTGACATGGTGTCTTCCTATTTGCATTGAATCTCCCTGGGGTCCGTTGAGCTTCTTGTACCTGTATATCTAGATTTTTAGCAAGGCCTGGAAAAGTCTCCTCTATTAATTCTTCAAATAGCTTATCAAGCCCTTGAGTGTTTTCTTCTTCACCTTCGGAACCCCTATCACCCTCAGGTTCGGTTTTTTCACATAATCCCACATTTCTTGTAGGCTTATTTCTTTTCTCTTAATTTTCTGCTCGACTTCTGTGACTGACTTATTTAATTGGAAGGAGTTGTCTTCAATCTCTGAGATTCTTTCTTGTGTTTGATCTACCCTATTCTTGAGGCTTTCCACGGCGTTTTGTAGTTCCCTGTATAAGTCCTTTGTTTCCAGGAAATCGGTTTGATTTTTCTTTAATATTTCAATTTCTTTGGTGAATTTTTCTTCCAAGTCCTGGATTTTTTTTGTGGTTTCTTTGTGTTGGTTATCCATTTTTTCTTGCATATCATTCAATTCTCTTACAATCCATGTTTGAAATTCTTCTTCTGTCATTTTAGTGTTCTGAGTTTTGTTAATGTCTATTGCTGGGGAGCTGTTGTTCCTCTTTGGGGGCGTGCTTTCTGTTTGAGTCTTCATACTTCAAGAGTTCTTTCGCTGGTTCCTTCCCATCTGGATCGCTTGTTCCTTCTTGCCTTTAGATTTTCGTTTGGATAATGACATGCCCTGTTTAGTCTCTGAGCCAGTAGGTGGTGTTTGTGGGTGAGATTCGACCACACCCTTTATGATGAATCAGTAGATGCAGTAAAAGGGTGTGCAGCATGACCTCCCTGTCAGTAGGTGGCACTTGCAGGGAGGAGTGAGCTGCAGTGCTGTTTTTGGGTCCTGTAGCCAGCTTATTCCTCTAGAGAGGCCCTCTTGTGCCTCGGGTGGTGGGTGGGGCCCTGGGATTTCCAGGTGTGTCCTTATTCTCCACCTCAGTGGGGAGAGTAAGTCTGGGTGGGGCTGGGTTGGGCAAGCCTGCCCTCAGGCTCCACAACTGCTGTTAGCAGGGTCAGAGGTCTACTCTTTGCTTCTGTGCAAACCTGCCAGGAGGGGCTGAAATGGCTCCACTCAGCTGAAAGTCTGGGCTTGGGGGCTGGGGCTGTCCAAGAGCTGCACTGTGGAGCAGGACTCGCTCCTCTCCACTCTCCCCCTCTTCGTGGCCTCTCCCAGGCCTCTGCCAGCAAGCAGGAACTCAGGCTGATGGATCTCCCCTGGCTGTGACGTGGGCCGGGAGGTTCCCCACCCAGGATCGTAGCCTGAGCTGGGTGCACAGCCCTCTTTTGGGAGGAGGGTTGTTGCTCTGGCATGCTGATCTGTCTCTGAAGGCACCCACTCCTCAGTAGGCTCTCTCACAGATCTCTCTTCTGTGCCCCGGGGCAGTGCGATCGTGACCTGGGTGTATGGGGTCTGATCTGCAGGCCTGTCCCCTGGACCCTGGAGATCAATCCCTGACCCTGCCAGGGGGAGGGGTGCCGGTCTTGAATCACCTACAGGGTGCCCAAGCTGGATCGATTTCACTCCACCTTGGGATTTGCCCCACTCTCCTGGAGTCTCCAGGCAAGTAGCACCTGGGAGGGCTGGCGGGTAGGGAACTCACAGTCTGAGTACCCCTCAGTCTGCTGTAGGGCCCCAAAAGGAAAGGCCCTGTTCCTTGGAGATGCCTCTGTGTGATGGCTAAATTGTCTCTCTGGGCACCCACGGGTAGGGAGGGGGAAGGATACAATGGAGCACTATGGCGTCTGCCACTAGGCTCGGGTCTGCGCCCGGGGAGGTGCCCCGAGGGGGCTGGGAGCCTGGCGCTGCGTCCGTGAGAGGCCACTGCTCGCTGGCGGCAGCCGTCTCTGGGCTGGTGTCGGCAGGTCTCTCCAGCTGCTCAGGAGCCACCAGCAGTCCGAGATGTAAGGGAGGGGGAAGTTAACTGCTCCACCTACCCTTGTAGCTGGTCTCCAGGCCTCTCGGGACTGTTCTCCTTCCAGTTCTCCTCCACAACATCTTCCCATGGAGTCTCCTGTAGTTTCAGGCACCCTTCCTTCCGACCCTCACCCGATCTATGTTTCTCTGCTAGCTTATTTCTTTCTCTTTCTTCTAAAATTTGTCTTTTTTGCAGAGACACTCTGACTGGCGGCTTTTCTCATCCGCCATCTTGGCTCCTCCTCTTTATCAGCTTATTACAAACGATAAAAACGAAGAGATTCATAGGGCAAGGTATGGGGCATGGGGTACCTCACCCTCCAGGAAGCCTGCCATGTTCAGCTATCCAGAAACCGGAAGTCACATTTTTAATAATAATGGAATCCAATGCAAATTCATAAATAGAAATTTTCAGACTTTCAGTCTTTCTGCAGTGAAGATTCAACAAACTCAATACATAGATACTATAGTAAGGATTAAAAGGAAATGCAGCAGGCCTTCAACAGTGATAAAAAATAAGTGGCATGGTCTTTGTAACTCTTCATATTCTCAACTCTGTAACATAATTTTATGTAAATATTGCATTAAAGTCTGTCTTTCCCACTGTAAATACCATATAGGCAGGGACCATGTCTATTTCCTCTCACTGTTTGACCTAAGCATCCCCATACTATGGTAGGCACCTGGTAGGCACACAGTATTTGAATGAAAGGAATAAATATCTTTTCCCTCAGTGAAGCATAATTGAAAAACTTCCAAATACTCTCACACCCTAATAATTCTATTAACATAGGGCTAAAGTCATACATAAAACTTAAATTCTACCACTAGAGTAAACATTTTATCAGTGTAACCACCATTAAACCTCCCATCTTAAACTGCCATAGCCCTACAAGATATTCTTAATATTTCCTTCCTGAGTCTTACTCCGTATTTTTAAAATTTTTTTGTAGAGATGGGGTCTCACTGTGTTGCCCAGATTGGTCTCAAACTTCTGGGTTCAAGTGATCCTCCTGCCTTGACCTCCCAAAGTGCTGCGATTACAGGCATGAGCCACTGTGCCCAGCCTTACTCAATATTTTTTTAAAATACATATCTAATGCTATGACCATGAAATAAAATCCTTGATACCCCTCAATTTTCCATACAATGAAGTCTAAACAGCTTAGCCTAGAGTTCAAGGCTATTTTCTATTCCAGTATTATGCATCTTTCTAACCCCATCTCGTCTCACATTTTTACCCACACCCCATATTCTGTAGTTCAGCTGCCATTGTCAGCCATGTCTGTCCTTGGAGCCACTGTCTGTGCCCTTAAATACCTTTGCTCATGTTTGCTTGATCTATGATGTTGAATCCCCTCCTATCACCCTTTCTCTGCCTGATAAATTCCTGTTCATTATTTTAGCCTAATTCAAATGTACTTGCCCCTAAGCCACATTCTTTCAATGCTCCATACCTGCTCAGATTTTTTTTTTCCTATTCTTTGCTCCCTGGATATTCAGTCGAGGCCTCTATTATAGCACTCATCATTCAATATTATAGCTAGTTTTGTTTTCCTGTTCTCTAGCTAGAGCTACCATATATTGATGGTCTACCAGGCTTTTAAATCACTACTACAGGTTGAGTGTCCCTTATCTGAAATGCTTGGGACCAGAAGTATTTTGGATTTTTTCAGGTTTTGGAATATTTATATTTATGGATTGAGCATCCCTAATCTGAAAATCCTAAATCTGCAATGATCCAATGAGCATTTCCTTTGAGCATATGTCAGGACTCAAAAAGTATCAAATTTTCAAGTATTTCAGTTTTTAAATGTTTGGATTAGGGATGCTCAACATGTGTTAATATTTATCTATCTTTTTTTTTTTTTGGAGTAAGTACTTTATTCCAAATGGTACAAAAATCAGAAAAAAGTACAAAGGGTATTCAGCGAAAAGTAAATTTCCCTTGCTTTCCTATTCCACAATTACCTAGTTTTTCTTCCCTGAGGTTCTCCCCCATATCAGTTATCTGTTGCCATACTAATGTGATATAATAAACAGCCATAAAACTTTGGTGGCATGTAGCAATAAGCATGCCTTTGGCACATGAGTCTATGGAGCACAGATGACCTGGGGTGAGGAGGCCTTATTTGTATATCTGCAGTCAGCTGTGGGTCGACCAAACAGCTCTGCAGAGCTCAGGCTAGGCCTACTCACATGTCTGGTGGTTTAGCTAGCTGTTAGCTGATCTCGGATGATCTCATCTGCTCCACTGGGGTGATTTGGCTCTATCCTGCATGTCTCTTATCATCTGAAGGCTAGCCTTCTGGCAATTTCAGAGGGCAAGAATAAGCAAGCTCAATCATACAAGTACCCTTCAAGCCTCTGCTTGTATCATATTTGCTAATAACTCATTAGCCAAATCAAGTCATGTGGTTGAGCCCAGAGTCACAGTGTGAGGGCACTACACAGTACATGGCTATGGATAAGGGTGAAGAATGGAAGCTATTAATGTACTCTGCCATAGCCTTTTTCCATTTTCTAAACACATAAGTATACACCTTATATATACTTTTTATCAACATAAATGATAGCATTCATTGTTTCCATACTTTGCATTTTTCCCCACACTACTTCATTATTTATTTCCATTAATACATAATGTTCTATCACCAGGTGTATTCTCCTGAAGAAGATTAAATCAGGGAATCTTAAATCACAGTTATCTCTTCACCCCAAGCTGGAGTGAGCCTCTAAGTAATCCCAGAATGGCTTCAACAGATGAACAAGATGGACTTAAGGTTGTGAAGGTGGAGAAAGACCCTATATGGGACCAAGAAACTCACCTTCGAGTGAACAACTTTTCTGGCCAGGAGGCCTCCCAACAACTTTTTAGGCAGTTTTGTTACCAAGAGACTTCTGGTCCCCGAGAAGCTCTGAGCCGGCTTTGGGAACTTTGTCATCAGTGGCTGAGGCCAGAGACACATACCAAAGAGCAAATTCTGGAGTTGCTGGTGCTAGAGCAGTTCCTGACCACCCTACCTGAGGAGCTCCAGGCCTGGGTACGGGAGCACCCAGGAAGAGGCTGTGGCTGTGGTTGAAGGTCTGGAGCAAGAGCTTAGTGAGCCAGGGAACCAGGTGAGAGGAGGGAAGATGTCGGCCAAGACTATAATCATCTGATGACATGACTGAGGCTGGTGGATCCACTTCCAAGATGGCTCACTGGTATGGTTGTTGGTAGGGGGCCTCAGTTACCAACTGTTGACAGGAGGCCTTAGTTCTTTGCTATGTTGGTCTCTCCCTAGGGCTGCTTGAGTGTCATCACGACATGTCAGCTGGCTTCCTCCAGAGTAGAGGAGATAGAGAAAGAGAGACAAAGAAAAAAGGCACAATGCTTTTTACGACTCAAGTTATATACCATCACTTCTGCCACATTTTGTATTCAGCGGAAGTGAGCCCACACTCAAGGGGAGGGAAATTAGATTCCACCTTTTAAAAGGAGGAATGTCAAAGAACTTGTGGACTTATTTTAAACCACCACACCATTTGGGCTATCTTTACTCTCCCCCTTCTTCACTTGGGTGTGGAATTAAACTCTGGTCCTTCCACTGTGCCATCTCTTTAGAAAATGTTTCATATGGTTCCATGTGATCTCTTTTATTGAGTATTAGCTTGGGCTCTTGTTGTCCTCCTCTTATGAACTCAAATATACCTATGTGTCTTCAGGCCCCAGATCACAAACATGGACATTCTGAAATGCTCTCAGAGGATGTGGTACATCTGAAGGCCAAACAGAAATCAATGGTCATCCAGCTTCTGTCCATGGTGACACAGCTCAAATATGAATGTTTTGGTCTCCACCAATTTCAAGAACAAGGTAAGGACTTTAATAGGTCCATTCATGAGATCTCTGGTGGCTCTGTATAGGATAATAGTTAATACTATGGACTGTGGGGCCAAATTGCCTAGGTTGGAATTTAAGCACTGCTACTTAGTATTCTGTGACAATAGGCAGGTCAGGTAACCTCCTTGCACCTTCAGCTTATGCATCTGTGAAATGGGGATAATCACAGCACTTTGGTCACAGAGTCATTTGAAGATTTAATAAGTATTTTAATATATTTAAAACACTTAGAACAGTACTTGCCTTGTAGTAAATATTCTATAGTGCCTGCTTGTATACATCCTCCCTGGGAGCCTTGCTTTCTCTGAGTGACCCCCTCCAGCCATTTCAGCAGTGCTGATGACCCCTTACTTTGCTAACCTAAATATCTCTGTTTAACCCCTCTTTCATTACACCACCAGTTTTTCATTCCTAGAATGTGTCTGTTTGATATGGATCTTTCTATTCCCATCTATGATAGTATTCTTTCATAAAGGAAAGAGATGACATTGTTTGGTTCACTTATTATTCCAGGTGGTAAAACTGTACCTGAAAACCTGGAGTTGGCATTGAAGCAAGAAGTCTTAAAAGAAATGGAACATTTTGAGGATAGCAGACTCCAAAGAGATGCTCCTCTGGATTCTAGGTACAAAGAAACTTGTAAACGTGAAAGCAGGGCAGAAAAGCAGCAGGGACACACCACTGAAGAGAGACATCACAGGTGCAATGAATGTGGGAAAAGCTTCACTCAGAGTTCAGTCCTCATTCAGCACCAGAGAATCCATACTGGGGAGAAGCCATACAAATGTGAAAAATGTGGGAAGGCCTTCAGCCAGAGGTCAGGCCTGAATGAACATCAGCGGAGCCACACTGGAGAGAAGCCCTGTCAATGTAAGGAGTGTGGGAAAGCCTTCAGTGCCAGCAATGGCCTCATTAGACACAGAAGAATTCATACAGGAGAAAAACCATATGAATGTGAGGCATGTGGGAAGGCTTTCCGCCTCAGCTCATACCTTGTTCAGCATCAGAGGATACACACTGGAGAGAAGCATTATCAGTGTAATGAGTGTAGTAAAGCCTTCAGTCAGAATGCAGGGCTTTTCCAGCATCTTCGTATCCACACTGGTGAGAAACCCTATCAACGCAGTCAGTGTAGTAAAAGCTTTAGTAGGTGGACACTCCTTATGAAACATCAGAGAAGCCACACTGGAGAGAGACCATATGGGTGTGACAAGTGTGGGAAAGCCTTCAGTCATCATTGCAACCTTATTAGGCATTTTAGAATCCATACTATTACATAATTGGACTAAGTCTATGGACCCTCAGGCCCTTAAGTGGGGCCATTTTGGAAAGTAAGATTTTCAAGTGGCTTATTCTTTTCTTATCAAATTTATTTTGCTTTGGAGTAAGTAGCTTGTCTACAAACCATGTGCTGGTGTCTCCTGGGTAGATGACTGTGGGAGTGGGGGGTTTCTAGGTGGCTTCCTTATTCCATATCCTTTGGTTCATTTCTATTGATGTCCCTTAAAGGGATCAAATCTTATTTGGAAAATATTGGTATGGAGGGGCTGTTTTTGAGTAATACTGAATATTAAACAACTCTAACAGTGTATCCTTTTTCAAAATTGTTAAGTTCAAAGGATATTCAGAGAGTGGGTCTTTTTTTTTTTTTTGGTAAGAGTTACATTTTATGATCCAGCAATCCCACTACTAGGTATTTACCAAAAGGAGAAAAAGACATTTTATAAAAAAGACACTTGTACTCGAAGGTTTATAGCAGTACAATTCAAGGTTGCAAAGATGTGGAAACAACCCAAGTGCCCATCGGTAAGTTAGTGGATTAATAAAATGTGTTATATGTATACCATGGAGTACTACTCAGCCATAAAAAAGTAGTGAACTATTACCTTTTGTAACAACCTGGATGGAACTGGAGACCATCCTCCTAAGTGAAGTATCACAAGAATGGAAAAACAAACACTACATGTATTCACTGTTTAAATTAGAACTAAATGATCAATACTCATGTACATATGGTAGTAAAATTCAACAGAAATCAAGCAGGTGGGAGGGGGAAGGAGGGAGATGGGTAAATTCACACCTAATGGGTACAATGCACACTATCTGGGTTATGGGCACACTTACAAATTTGACTCAAACTGTACAAAAGCAATTTATGTAACTAAATAATTTGTACCCTGTAATATTCTATAATTTAAAAAAAAGAGTTACATTTTAAACACAAAGTTTTTGGAAATAAGAATTGTCTGCATTTTCACAGGAAATCATTGCTGTGGTCTCCTCTAGGAATGTGATAAATGGCCTCTGTGAGCAGTGTTATCCATGGTCTAGTCTTGACAGTATAAAAATCTGTGTCCCACTTCATATCTTAACTCCAGATTCTCAGTACAGGTCATTAACATATTTAAGTTTTCTGGTTTTGTTATAAGTAATGAGTAATATCATACTGTAAAACCTCTGTTCTTCACAATGTACCTCTTTAATTTATAGTCTTTTCTGTCAGCATTATTCCCTTGCCACTGCCTTTTGGGGGTTAGTCAGCAACTTTGAGTGCCATTGCAAGCAGCATCTTTGAAGATGTAACTCTATAAAGAAAAGGAGCCTCTAACCTCGGGCAGCTTGCCACTTACTGGGAACACCAGCCTGCTCAGTGTATTCATTGTCAGGGTTAACCACATGCTTTGGCACCAGACTGTCCACGTTCAAATCCTACCTGTCCATTTGTGAGCTGTGGAACTTTAGGCAACTTATCAAAATGCCTCTATGCTACAGCCTCCCCATCTGTAAAACAGAGCAGATAACAGTACCCTCCTCATAGGATACATAAGATTAAATAAATACAAACTTGTAAAGCACTTAAAACATAGCTCTCAATAAATGTGCACTATGATTTATGTAAGAAATAATTTAATACCATTTAAGAAGTGTAGGTGGAATTGTAAGTATCATGTTAACACTTGGATATTAAATTCCTCTGCTGACATTCTTATTATACTTTTTTCCACAGTCAAAATCTCAATCAGAATTTCAAAAGAGGAAATAAAAGTTCAGCTTAAAAGTATATTGCTCTAAACCTTTGTCTTTGAAGTTTATTTAAAAAATATTATTGTATGTGTGTGTATTTCTTTATAGCTTAGAAATCATACAAAAAACTCTTTAAAATTCCTTTACTATATCATTTGTTAATACAATTAGCAATTAGCTAAAGCCAAATTTTCTAGAATAGTGCTTATCAAATTTTAGAGTGCCTATAAGTCACCTGGGATCTTGTTACAGTGCAGACTCTAATTCAAAAATTCAGAAGGGGCCCAGGAATCTGCATTTTAGTAAGCTCCCAGGAGATGCTGATGCTGCTGGTTCATGGAGCACACTTTGAGTATTGAGGCCCCAGACTTCCCTGAGTATTCGTATGGTCCATCTAATATGCTAGAGGCACCAAGCAAATAACAGCTCCCTTTGCATCCTTCCACCAGCGACCTCTACATCAACATGTAGTCCTTAAACCTGTGCTCCCCACACGGACCCACTGCCTGTCCTACCCTAACAGGAGTTAGATGCCTGTGAAGTACAGCGGGCAGGTGGGGTGAGGTGATTTTGGGGAGCTAGGCTGCTCCTGCTCTGGCACAGGCAAATACAGCCAAATCTTTACCCAGGAAGTCTAAACAGGATCCATAAAAGTCTGTTGAAAGGAGCTGCTGTGTGGTTATACACACACTACAGACCTGCCGATCCTCACTCTCAGTGCTCTCTTGGGCTCTCTGAGCTGCTCAGGCCACAGGAACAAGGTTCCAGCTGAGATGTCCTTACCTATGGTGCTACTACATGCCACACTTATCTTCAACACTGAAGCTTTGCTTGGGCCCTCTGTGACTCCAACCCCAGTGCTCAGGCAGCCCCTTCCTCTCTCACCTACTCAGAAAGGCAAAGAAAAGCTCATAGAAGAGAAAGTAGCCACAAAATAGAGATCAAAAAGGGTAAAGGACAAAAAAGTAAGGGAAGGAGGGACCTCCCAAATAGGTGAGAGAGGGAGAGGAAAGGGATGGGGGAGAAAAAAGGGCCTGATAGGGCAAGCCTACAGCAAAGAGAAAGTTGAAAGAATTTGGGAATGGTTCATTTTTTTCAGATTCTGTTTCACCAATCTGGTCCAAAGTGTTATAGTAGCTGATGCCACCACTTCTCTGCATTCAGTCCCATTGATAGTGACAAAAAGGACTTTCAGTGCCTGTGATCAAAGAAGTACCAAGAGACTAGAAGGGTGGTTCGGATTGTGGATAGGGCCACACAGTCATTCCACAAGCATCCACTGCACACCTGCTTTGGGCCAGCAGGCACCATGGTAGGGGCTTGGGACACATCAGCAAATAGAGTAGACAAAGGTTCCTGCCTCACAGAGTTTACATTCTGGTGGGGGGTGGGTAATAAACAATAATCATAGTAATTAAATTATACAGTATACTTAGAAGAAAGTGGAGCTGCTTAAAGGAAGAGTAAGGTTTCATTATATAGGGTGGTCAGGGAGGCCTCATTGAGAAGGAGGCATTTGAACTAAGATGTGGAGGAGATAAGAGAGTCAGCCCGATGCTATCTGGGAGTAGGGTGTTCCAGGAAGAGGGATCAGGCAGTGCAAAGGCCCTAATGTTTGGAATAAAAATAGCTTTCCTGTTGGATTGGTCAAATGATCCTCACAATCACCCTAGAAGAGGAAGGCATCGGTATTTACCATTCATGTTCATAGTTGTGTAAGCTGAGCATGGTGAAATAAAGTGGATTGTTGATGTCACATGCCTGTGAGGTGGCAAAGGTCTGCATTCAAGACTGACTGATTCCCTTTCTAGTGATCTTTCCTATTAAGTACCTGGAAACTTTGTTTTACAATCTGGAAAATTATTCTTTTCTTCCTTATCTAGAAAACATATGTGATGCATATGGGGTGCAGCAGATAACCTGTTGGTACACAAGAGGAAGAAATGCATAGAATCCTGCAGGTCATGTGATCTTCATGGATGGGTGTGAAAGGCTGGAGAGTGAGAGGGCAGAAGTGCAGGGATTCTGGAGGCAGCTGGAGCCTGGTGGGGGGAAGGGCTGGGAAAGTGAAGGGGTGGGAGAATGGGAGACACAGTCAAGGTTGCTACTTGGTGACATAGCACAGTTGTTGTTTGTTACTATCTAGCCGTGTAACTGTGGACAAGTTACTTCACCTCTCTGTGCCCTTTGGAAAGACATGAAGATTAGGTGGGTGAGGAGAGAGATCTCAGAATGTAAGGCAATACAGGTAAATGGAAATCCATTTGTGGAGCGAGTAGGGCGGGGTGGGGGCGGTTAGGAATTGGAAGGGAAGAGCCAAGAGATCCCAGGATGTTTGGGGAATGGGGCAAGGAGAGAGTCGCCGGCTTGCCTCTGCCCTAAATGGGCCCACCGCTTGGTCAACGAGATGAAATATTCTCTGAGCCGCCTAGAGAGGCAGCAGGAGTGTTCGCCCGCGGTGGAGGGGGCAGGGGGTCCCTCGTGCGGTGTTCGCCCAGGTACCACGGAGTTGAAGAGTCTTGGTCGGAGCTTGGCCCGCCCAGTGTGAGTCCTCGGGCGAGCAGGACGGGCGCATTCGGCTCCACGCTTAAGCCCAGGAGTGACTAGGGCGTCACAAACCGTGGCTAGTAAATGCTGGCTTTTCAGGAATAAATACAGTAGTAATAATACAGACTTCCGTAGTTCTTACCATAAGCCTGCCACAATTCTAGTTGCTTAGCATGTATTGACTGATTTAATCCTCAAACATGATCTAAACGTGATAATTAACTCCATTTTAAAGAGGGGGAAACTGAGGCACAAAGAGATTAAGTCACTCTCCCAAAGTCACAAAGCTTGTAGTCAGCAGAGGCACCCACTGTGCTCTTGATCGCATTTCTTTCTTTCTTCTCTTTTCTTTTCCTTCCTTCCTTTCTCCTTTTTCTTTTCCTTCCTTCCTTCCTCCTTTTTCTTTCTTTTCTTTTCTTTCTTTCCCTTCTTTTCTACAGGGTCTTGCTCCACACTCCTCCCCACCTCACCCTGCCCCACAAGTGCAGTGGCTGGATGGTAGCTCCCTACAGCCTTGAACTCATGGGGTCAAGGGTTCCTTCTGCATCAGCCTCCCAAGTAGCTAGGACTACAGGCCAGACCACGACCCTGGGCTAATTTTTTTATTTTTTGTAGAGAAGGGTTCTCATTATGTTGCTCAGGCAGTTGGTCTCTAATTCCTAGCTTCAAGTGATTTTCCCATCTTGGTTTCCCAAAATATTAGGATTACACACAGGAGCCACTGCATCTAGCCTTGACTCCATTTCAGATAAAGTCAAAGTCTGCTCCCTCATTGATTTGCCTTCTATACCCACAAAACTACAAAATATTAGGTCAATGCTGTCCATCTATGCTGGATTTCTTTTTAACAACTACCCTACTTGGAATTGAGAGCACAGTTCATTCAGCAAATCTATTGCTACACACTGAGGTTGTGTCCCACTTTTAACTATTTGGAACAACACTGCAGTGACATGCCTTGTACTTCCAGATATATTATTTTACCTGTAAATATTTCAGTATATATCATTAATAAATAAGAACCCTTTAAAAACATAACCATAATACTTTTATCACCTAAAAGTTTAATAGTTATTCCTCTATCATTACATATGCAATAGATGTTTAAATTTCCAGTTCTTATAAACATAAGTTTTTTTTGTTTTTTTTTGAGAAAGAGTCTCGCTCTGTTGCCCGGGCTAGAGTGAGTGCCGTGGCGTTAGCCTAGCTCACAGCAACCTCAAACTCCTGGGCTCAAGTGATCCTACTGCCTCAGCCTCCCGAGTAGCTGGGATTACAGGCATGCGCCACCATGTTCGGCTAATTTTTCTATATATTTTTAGTTGTCCGATTAATTTCTTTCTATTTTCAGTAGAGATGGGGTCTCGCTCTTGCTCAGGCTGGTCTCGAACTCCTGAGCTCAAACAATCCGCCCGCCTTGGCCTCCCAGAGAGCTAGGATTACAGGCGTGAGCCACCGTGCCCGGCCCCGGCTAATTTTTTCTATATATATATTTTTAGTTGTTCAGATCATTTCTTTCTATTTTTTAGTAGAGACAGTCAGGCTGGTCTCGAACTCCTGACCTTGAGCGATCCACCTGCCTCAGCCTCCCAGAGTGCTAGGATTACAGGCGTAAGCCACTGCGCCCGGCCAAACATAAGTTTTTTACATTTGTTTGAATCAAGATCCCCCATGATATGCAAAAAGAATGTCTGCCTGATACATCTTGTCTCTTTTAATCTACGGGTTTCCCCTCCATTTCATTTTTTTCCCATTGCATTGTATTTTTTGAGGGGGAAAAAAGAGTGTTCATCCTGTAATTGCTCACTGTATGCATTTTGATGAACGTATCTCTGTAGTGTAGTTTAACATCTTTTTCTGTCTTCTGTATTTCCTGTGAGTTGGTAGTTCACAGGAATTCAGTTCCTTTTCACGCAGGCCTCTTTAACATGACAGCTTGCTTCATCAAAACCTCCAAGGGAGAGCATCTGCTAGAAGACAGAAGTCGGTTTTTTTGTAACCTAATCACAGAAGTGACATTCTCTCAACATTGCTGTAGTCTATCAATTAGAAGCAAGTTATTTAAGGAGGGGATTATACGGGCCTTGAATACTAAGAAGTTGGATCATTGGGAAACATTTTAGAGGCTGCCTCCCACACTTTACTCCCATGTCAAGTATCCCAGTTCTCAAAGACAGTGGGGAATGACAGAATTAAAATATCAGATCATATGTGAATTTATTAATAAAATTTTAAAACCATTAAAGTGCCTTCAAATTGGCTGTGCTAATTTACATTCCCACCACATAGTATGGTTATTATCTTATTTCCTTGCCCATTATCAAACTTAAAAATATTTGCCAAGCTATTGGGTTTGTAATGGTATCTTTGGGCTTTTTAACTTCTCCTTATCAGTGGGTAGAAATTTTTTGTATTTTGGATACTAATCCCTTGTGTGTGTGTGTTTATATATACACATATATATTTATTATATATTTCATTTTTCAATAAATTAGGACTACCCCTGAAGACTAGATGCTGAATAGGAGTCTTCCTGAATCCCAGAGTATAGGCAGAGTAAACGTGCTACTAAATTTTCTAGGCTCAGACTATCTGGAGAACCAAGAGAAGTCCTAGTTGTGGCCATGCCAGTTCCTTGAGGTACAGAAAAGGGCTTCAAAAGTCAAGGTGGAAAAAAGCAGCTTGGCCACAACGTGGAATCAGGAATCCAGAGTTTGAGGAAGAGTCCTTCATACTAGGAAATCTGCAGAGAGCACTTCAGGTACCTCTGCTACCATGATTGCCCTGGGCCTTGAGTGACTCTGAGCAATCTCTGCAAGATCTGTCATCAGAGGTTGTAGCCTGACCACACCTGGAGCTGCTGGCGCTGGAGCAGTTCCTGATCATCCTGCCTGAGGAACTCCAGACCTCAGTGAGAGAACATCACCCAGAAAGTGAAGAGGCTGTGACCTTGTTGGGCGAGTAGAAGAGAAAGATTGATGGATCAAGACAGAAGATGGACAGGTAGAAGCCTTGGAGGTGTAGAGCCAGAACAAGGGGCGTGGCGCAAACAAGTTGGTATGGGCGGGGGGCAGAGTATGTCTGAGAAGCTTCAGTCTCTACTGAGCCAAGATAAAGTTATCAGTTATTGGTGTTTTTCTTTTGAACTTTTGAATATCCCCCCTGTAGCCCTCAAATGGTCTAATGAAACATTGATTCCTCTCCTCCTGCCCTATGTCCCACAAGTCTCTTCTCTGAGGATTTAGTCCTAATTCCCATAATAATTTCTAAAGAAACCTACTGATTCAGGGTCCAGCCCATTTCCATAAAAGGGACATAATAATGAAGGAAAAATTACCTCTGAGGGCACTGCAGGCATCCTTAGTCAATCAGCTGCTGCCTGGAAAGACCCAGTTCAAATAAGAACCTCCAAAACCATGCACCATTCCAAAGACTAGTCAGAAGCAAAATTTCTCCTAAGATGAAAGTACTGCCAGCTAAAGATATATAAGTAATCTTTGGGCCTGTTTTTATTCATTTCCCCTTTCATCAAAATCCTCTCTATCCATCTTCTCACACCCAGTTGATACATATGAAATATGTACTTGTGGAATGAATGAATTAAGATATGTGGGCAGCATTAATATTTATCATTCCTTCAGGAGACAAAGAATTTATTCTCATGTTTGGCTTCTTGTTTGTTCTATCATTCTATCATAGCCTGTGTTTACTTTGTATAGCTTGAGTCACATATGTTTAGTTTAACCAGCATAGACATGAGAGAATTAACTATGGCCCTCACCGTGAATGATTGTAGATGTGTCCTTTTGAGAATTACTGAGCAGTGGTTAAAACACCTTCACATTAGAACATAAATGTGGCTGGGCGCAGTGGCTCACACCTGTAATCATAGCACTCTGGGAAGCCAAGGCAGGAGGGTTGCTTGAGCACAGGAGTTTGAGACCAGCCTGAGCAAGAGCGAGACTCCGTCTCTACTAAATATAGAAAAATTAGCCAGGTGTGTTGGCATGCCCCTGTAGTCCCAGCTACTCGGGAGGCTGAGGTAGGAGGATGGCCTGCACCCAGGAGTGCGAGGTTGCATTGAGCTATCATGACGCCACTGCATTCTATCCTAGTCAACAAAGCAAGGCCCTGTCTCAAAAAAAAAAAAGGCATTCTCCAGAGAAATTTTTTTTTTTTAAAAAAGAGGCTGGATTTCATTCTTTAAATGCATAAAATAGTCAATGCAACAAAGAAATGCTTCCCCACATGTCTGACACAAAATTAGACATAGAGAAAGGGTACCACTGGAGTTCAACATTTTCTCAGATAATTTTTAACATTATTTGTTACAAGTCTTTGAAACTTTATATAAATGTCTGATTTTTAAAATATTACTTAATTAGTTAATTTCACTACATACATCAGATTTGCTTTGGAAGGGTACAATCTAATGTGTAGTTATCATTTTGTTATGTCTTATTAATGTCTGCATTGTGTCCATTTATCTGCCTTAATCTGACAGATTAGCATTGTGTTGCAAGTAGAAATGTGCAACACATCTCCGAAAATCCAAGATGTCTAGAGAGGCACCTGGGTTACAGGTTCTGTGTAGTTGCCATGCATTGTTCATGGCTACATCAATCATGTAGCTCACCAAAATTGAGTACCATTTCTTGCTTCTTATTCTCACCCTATATTTGGAAATAATTTGATCCATTTTAGCTACACCTTCCTTGCTTTCATTGTACACTTTCACTATGGATGGTTGACTTATCTGAGGGATCTCTTCATCATCAACAAAACAACTTATCTCACTAACTGGTTCTATGCCTACAGCATTGGAGCACAGACTGATAATGCCATCACCATACCAACGACACAAAATTATCTCATCATTTTCTTCCACTCGGAAATCAAAATACCCCCTCTTCATTTTTTTCATATGTTCTCCATTCATAAGGGGGCATTTTTCAGTCCTGTTTTCACGAATCATTCCTGTTGCCCTCACTCCCTTCTTCTTCAAGGCTGACACTAATTTGACACTTGTAAAGAAGCTATCAAAACACAGGTGATAGGGATATTGACCTCTCTCTAAAAGAACATCAGCAAAGTTCATCACTAGATTTTCACCTAACCCAAGGCCAAGATCTTCATATGCCTTCATACTTGATTCTTCTTGATAGGGTTCAAACCAAACCAGATAACCCTGTGTGGTTGTGCCACACCAAATTTTATAGCCAATTCTAATAGGCTTTCCATTCAGGAATTGGTCACTATCAAAGCATTCACACATTGACTTATCAAAGCAATAGTATTCTTCTAGAGGAGCATACAAGAGGAAATTTTTATTCATTTGCTTTATGAGAGGCCTCAGTTTTGTAAACTTATCTTTTTGATCTAGGTGGCCATTATCTGCAAAGTGCAGGTATGAGAAAATCAACTCAAATCTGTCCCTTCTAATAGCATCTCTAACCAAGTTCTGATCAGCATCAGGGATTTCCCAATACAGTCCCCTTCTGGGACGCCTCACAAACCCACTCAAAAGCAGAACACCAAACACACACCTCATTTCCTGAACTGTGACTTCCAAGCTGACATTTTTCTGAGAAGCATAATTATTGGTTTCACCGACAATTAAGTTGAATGTTTCATCATCAAAAAATAATTCAAAGAGCTCTACTGGGTTCAACTTTTCATTCTTGAGATTCAAAAGTCCAGAATCCAGGGCTGACCAGCTTGGAAAGTTGGGTTTAATGTCTCTTTTGGTCCAATTCTTTTCTGGGACACTTGACACTTTTAGCTTCTTTTGAGCAGGCTGGGTCTCAGGCTCATTATCTTCCTCCAAATCTGAGTCACCAGAAAATGCGAGGCCTTGGAGTAGTTCACTCACTCGAGCTTTGTCTTTTTTTCTCCCTTTTCGGGTAATATCTCCTGCAGCATATTCCAAGGATGAAATGTGTGTCCGGGTCCATAAGTCACCAGGGTGACGGTCCTTCAGAGTGTTCAAATGTACAACTGTCCTTTCAGTAGGGACAGGAATATAAGGGATCTGGGGTGCATGATCTCTGGGAAAGAAAAAAGAGCATACGTTATAAAAATCTTCAGTCTTTCCCAGCCACTTGGGGGGCTCAGGCCAGAGGATTCTTGAGCCCAGGAGTTTGAATTCAGCCTGGACAACATAGAAAGAAGGAAAAAAAAAAAACCTCAGCGTTATTCTTTAATAGATGAGAAATCCACTAAAGCCTAGATCTTTTGGCAGGAGAGGATTACTTACTTCTCACTCCTCTTGTTTCCATGGGGAGGACTTTGGCTAGACTTAACATTTCTGGCCTCTCTCCACCTCTCACTCATTTCTTATGACGTAAGAAATTGTCGAATCTGGGGAAAGGAACTGGGCATCCATGGTGCAGCCCCTTCCTCTGTCCTCTTTAGGAGAAGGATCCAGATATCCCATGCTCCTTTTTGCCCCAAGTTGCATCGGCAGGACTGTGCAGGGGGACATCTGCTGCACTTGTCCTCTGCCAGTATGAGCCTATTTAGCTCTGCCTCTGAGCTGCTTTATCCACTCTAGCGTCTGACAATAATAGAGTTAAGGCTTCCAGAACCATCTGTTTTAATCCTGTGTCCCCGTCAATTGGTTTGGTACTTGGACAAGGAAGAAGGTTGTTATTTACTGGGCATCCTCACATGTCTCAAAGAATTTCTGAACATGGAAGGACTTAGCTTTTTCTAGTGCTACATTTATCTGGTGGACATACTGCTCTGGTAAGAAACAAAGAAGAAACTCAGCTCATTGCACTTGAATTGATTTTTATGAGGTTTACAAGGAAGTAAAGCTAAAGTTACTAAAGTTACTAAGATGAAAAGCATTATTTTATACAAACTTCTATCTTATTTCTAGATATTTGCATTTCATTTACTAGTGTTCTATCAGTAAACTAGTCTAGTTTTAGAAGACATAGGGGCAAAAAAGCAGTGAAAAGAGTATATTTTAATATAATTTACACTACATATATTTACTTAAAGCATTTATTATCCTGGGTGTCTTCAATGTCTATGTGTATTCAACACATCCATCGTAAAGAGTTCCCTGACATCCACCTCTTCAGTCAATACTGTCATGACATTGAGCCTTTCCACTGCTGAAATCTAAATTCCACGAGATACAGTGTATTAAGCCCAATATTGTGAGGAAGGAAATGGGAAAAAGCGTGAGTGAGGTAAGAAAGTAGGGTGACAATAGGGGACTAGAGGAGGGATGCAAGGATGTAGGTGGGGCTGGATCTTTGACATAATGGTTGAGCTGCTGTACCAAACCGAGAACAGCCTACCTTCAGACTTTTTGTTATGTGAAACAATAAGATATCTTTATTCTTATAGGCACTGTGAGTCATGGGTCACAGTTTCAGTTAGCTGGTGCTGAATGCCCCCAAAAGGCACAGTAACAGATTCCTATTCTCCAGTTATAGCTCTGCACTAAGTTACTGAACATTATTTCTCTTCCTTAGTGGAGCTTGGCTCAGTCCTCACTAGGTTAATGAAAGAGAGACGAGAAATTTCACTTCTCTTCTTAAGCTTCAAGACATTTCTATTTAGCAGAGATTTAGCTCCCTGTTTTCCTAAGATGAGCAAATGTCAATAAAGCCCTACTTACTCGCTGCTCTGCTCTTTAGCCTAATTATCCTGCCTTATTTCCTTTCTCCTCTTTTCTTGAGTCTCTGAAGAGTTAATGGCCTCACCAGAAGCCAACCCTCTGCTTGTGATTTGGTCCCTGCTTTACCAGTATTTATGTTACATATTCACTCATTCCCACAAACAACACTTATGAAGTGCCCACTACTATCATTAATTTCTCCTTTTTTATCAGCTACATTCCTTTTGATCTCTTCCTTATTCGAGTCTTCTACTGAAGGCTGAAAATACCCTACTTGCCTCACTAAGTCCTCTTCCAGTTCTGATGATATTTCTTTCTTAACTGTCATGGCAGCTTCACCTGCAGCCTTTACTCTCATCTAAATTCTCTGTCTTCTGGCTTCTTTATCTGCAGCTCCAAAAATATGTAAAAGGACCCCAGGGAAGAGTGATTAAGCAGGATACCCTGAGTCAGGACAGGATTCTTAGAGGAAACTGTGCCAAATGAAGGTTTTGTATAATTATTGTATATTGACAATATTCAATAGGTCACGTTCTTGGCATCAGGCCTCCTATGATCATAGAAGTGACAGTGGCACTCATTCTCTATTATTCCAGGGAAGCAGGCTCTTGACCAACTGGTTTCTCTAGTTCCATTCCAATTTCTTCTTATGTCTCCAGGATTTGATCCACTCAGGACCATGGACACTCACCTGTTGGGTATTCCTGAGGCCTCCCAACCTTGTTTCATTTCTTCAGAAGTTTCTTGCTTTGCATTAAACAATCCATCTTTAGTTACAATTTCTTCAGCTAAAATAATACATTAATGATTTGAATGTCATATCTATAAATTTTGAAAAAACAACCTGTAGGGTAGGGAATAGATGTTCCAAATTAAATCAAAAACAAATCAATAGGTGTCTCGGGGGTATACAGTTTCATCAATCTTACAAAATATGGCACAGTGTGGGAAGGTGATAAGAAAAGTCAATTACAGTACAAGAGCCCAGCTGGGAGAGGGTCCAACAGGGCAGAGCACATTTAAAGAAAATTAAACATGAACAGTTGTGTTCTCAGAGAGTAAAGAGAACTTCCTCTGAAGTAAAGAAGAAGGGAACAGGCAGAGGTGTTCATGGGGCTTCCAAGTATGAAGGGATATCTGAAATGACAAGTCATATGGGAGCCTCACTAGGGAAGAAAAGGGGATACAAAGGAAGAGTCACTGAGAATCAGGGAATAGGGAGGGATGAGCAGAGAAGATAACAAGAATCATTAAGCTGGGTGAGTAGCAACAGAAGAAGAAAATGTGATTGGGAGGGATACGAAATGGTAAGAGCTGAGAGAAGTCAGCAGGCAGAGGCCAGAAGAAGGAAAGGGGAGGGTGAGGGTCTATAGGAAATGTGGTCTCCCAATGGCCAATTCAGGGTCAGGGGTGGGAAAAGGAGAGCACATGCAGGGGACTAGCCAGAGGCCTATCCTTACTCATCAGACCAAGGCTTGCAGCCTTCTCCTCAGCTGAGTTCCCACAGAGGTTCCTCTGAGCCAGACTCAGATGTGGCCACTCCTGTGGGGCAGGGGCCTGGGCTGTTTCTTCCTCAGTCTTCACTGATGTCTAAAGAAACAAAAAAATGGCCTCTTAGTTTTCACTGTGGTAAGGATAAGGGGTCCAGTTGTGAAGGGTGTTGAATACCACACTGTAGACCAGTGGTACCAACCCCTCAAGGCATTCTATAAATTTGTGGGAACATTTTTGGTTGTAACAATGATCCCCACCACCTTGTGCCAATGCCATTCATAAGATGAGGCCAGAGATGTTAGTCATTCTGCAATGCGTGGGATGTTCCCACACTACAAAGAACTGTCCCACATCCTGTAGGACTTTCAAGTGTCCTGCTGAACCAAACCTACAATCAATATAAATCAGCTGCACTTAAGTATAAGAGAGTTTTTATAGGGTGATACTAAAAACACTGGTAATTCAAGAACATTACAAAGAAGGAAGTTTACATAGAATAAAGACATTGTCACAATAGTTGATTTACTCAGACTATTCTACACACTGTCTTATAGCATTTTCTACTAGGTATTTGGTTGAAGAGCATTTCAATACAATATTATAGCCACTACAAATATAGTTAAACCAATTACAAATAACTAATGGAGGAATCTTGAGACTCCTTTTAAACAGATTTGGAACCTAATATAAATGCAGAGATCTCACTGAATTTCATTAGTAAAGATTATTTAAAAATATTTCAAACCTAGCAATGATAAGATTTCTAGGTTGGAAAAATTATACCCTGAAATATTTATTTTGGAGGTTGTCTGTGGTTTTCTATCTTTGTATGACACTATCTCCAAAGGCCTACCAAATGGCTTTTTATTAACCTCTTGATATTTTGTTTCATTTCCCAATCTACACTCTCTTTCCCATTGCCTGAAAAAGGATACAGTACTCGGTCTTTTAACAGACTGAATGTCTGTTTTGACAAGGAGGGGAGTTTCAAGACAGAAGATATGTTTTCTCTTTACCATATTACTACTCCATCCCAAACTTCAAACGGAGAATTATTTTGATATTAATACTAAAAAGCCCACCTCATTTAAATATAGGCATACCTTGGAGATAGTGCAGGTTCAGTTCCAGACCTCTGCAATAGAGTATCACAATTAAGTGAGTCACACAATTTTTTGGTTTCCCAGTGCACATAAAAGTTGTGTTTACACTATACTGTAGTCTGTTAAGTGTGCGATAGCATTATGTCTAAAAAAAACCCAATGTACATACCTTAATTAAAAGACATTTTATTGCTAAAAAATGCTAACAACCATCAGAGCCTTCAGTGAGTAATCTTTGTGCTAGTGGAGAACCTGGCCTTGATGTTGACGGCTGCTAACTGATCAGGGTGGTGATTGCTGAAGGCTGGAGTGGCTGTGGCAATTTCTTAAAAGAAGACAACAGTGAAGTTTGCTGCATTGATAGATTCTTCCTGTCATGAAAGATTACTCTGTAGCATATGATGCTTTTTGGTAGCGTTTTACTCACAGTAGAACTTTCAAAACTGGAGTCAAACCTCTCAAATCCTGCTGCCACTTTATCAATTAAGTTTATGTAATATTCTACATCCTTTGTTGTCATTTCAACAATGTTCACAGCATCTTCACCAAAAGTAAATTCCATCTCAAGAAATCACTTTCTTTTCAGTCAAGTCTGGTCTGCTGGAAAGTAGGGGAAAAAAGAAGAGGAAGGAGAAGAAACCACTTTCTTTGCTCATCCATGAAAAGCAACTCTTCATCCATTAAAGTTTTATCATGAGATAGAAGAAACTCAGTTACGTCTTCAGGCTCCACTTCTAATTCTCGTTCCTTGCTATTTCTACCACATCTGCAGTCACTTCCTCCACTGAAGTCTTTAACCCTTCGAAGTCATCCATGAGGGTTGAAATCAACTTCTTCCAAACTCCTGTTAATGTTGATATTTTGGTCTTCTCTCAAGGATCATGAATATTCTTAATGGCATCTAGAATGGTGAATCCTTTCCAGAAGGTTTTCAGTTGACTTTGCCCAGATTCATCAGAGGAATCACTATGGCAACTAAAGCCTTATAAAATGTATTTTTAAGTAATAAGACTTGAAAGTCAAAATTACTTCTTGATCCATGGGCTGCAGAATGGACGTTGTGTTAGCAGGCAAGAAAACAACATTAATCTCCTTATACAACTTCATCAGAGCTCTTGTGTGACCAGGTGCATGCATTGTCAGTAAGCAGTAATATTTGGAAGGGAATCTTTTTTTCTCAGCAGTAGGTCTCAATAGTGGGCTGAAAATATTCAGTAAATCATGCTGTTAAACAAATACGCTGTCATCCAGGCTTTGTTGTTCCATTTATAGAGCACAGGCAGAGTAGATTTAGCATAATTCTTAGGGCCCTAGGATTTTCAAGATAATAAATGAGTACTGGCTTTAACTTAGAGTTGTCAGCTGTATAAGCCCCTAAAAAGAGAGTCAACTTGTCCTTTGCAGCTCTAAAGTCAGGCGTTGACTTCTCTCTAGCTATGAAAGTCCTAGATGGCATCTTCTTCCAATATAATGCTGTTTCATCCACATTGAAAATCTGTTGCTTAGTGTAGCTCAAGGATCTTAGCTAGATCTTATGGATAACTTCCTGCAGCTTCTATATCAGCAATTGCTGCTTCACCTTGCACTTTTATGTTATGAAGACAGCTTCTTTCCTTAAACCTAATGAACCAACCTCTGCTAGCTTCGAATTCTTCTTCTGCAGCTTCCTTGCCTCTCAGCCTGCACAGAATTGAAGAAACTTAGGACCTTGCTCTGGATTAGGCTTTGGTTTAGGGAAATGTTGTGGCTCGTTTGATCTTCTATGCAAACCACTCAAAACTTTCTCCCTATCAGCAATAACGCTGTTTCGCTTTCTTATCATTTGTGTGTTCACTGGAATAGCACCTTTAATTTCCTTCAAAAACTTTTCCTTTCCATTCGCAACTTGGATATTTGGTGCAAGAGGCTTATATTCTGGCTTATCTCAGCTTTGGACATGACTTCCTCATTGAGCTTAATCATTTCTATAATAGTTTTTGATTTAAAGTGAGAAATGTGACAGTCATCCTTTTGCTTGAACACTTAAAGGGTTATTAACCCTCTAACACTTAGAGGGTTATTAACTGACCTCATTTCAATATTATTGAGTTTTAGGGAATAGGGAGGCCCAAGGAGAGGGAGAGAGATGGGGGAACAGCTGGTCAATGGATCAGTTAAAACACACACACACACATACACACACGATTTGTTAATTAATTTTGTTGTCTTATATGGGTGTGGTTCATGGTGCCCAAAACAACTACAATAGTAACATCAAAGATCACCACTGTCCACAGATCACCATAACAGATATAATGATAATAATAATAAAGTTTAAAATATTGCAAGAATTACCAAAATGTGTCACAGACATGAAGTGAACACATACCGTTGGAAGAATGATGCCCATAGACTTGCTTGATGCAGGGTTGCCACAAACCTTCAATTTGTAAAAACTGTAGTATCTGCTAATGCAATAAAGCAGAGTGCAACAAAAAGACATATGCTTGTAATGTCACACCTGCTTATTTTCTCCCCCTTTTCTATCTGTAATTTGTCTTGAAATCTATATTGGTTTCCTAGGGCTCTCATAACAAAGTACCACAAACTGGATGGTTTAAAACAACAGAATTTTATTCTCACTCTTCTGGAGGTTAGAAGTTCAAAAATCAAGGTATGAACAGGGCCATGCTCTGTTTGAAAGCTGTAGGGGAGTAGCTTCCTTGCCTCTCTCCGAGCTTCTGGTGGTTGTTGGCAAGTCTTGGTGTTCCTTGGCTTGTAGATGCATCACACGAATCTCTGCCTCAGTTGTCATGTGGCATTTTCCCTGTGTGTCTCTCTGTCTTCACATGGGCTTCTTATAAGGATACCAGTCATTGGATTTAGGGCTCACCTTAATCCATTATGACCTCATCTTAACTTGATTACATCTACAAAGAGCCATGCTCTTTGGATATGTTTTGTTTTCTGTTTTTTGTTTTTTTCAGTCTCACTGTGTTGCCCAGGCTAGAGTGCCGTGGCGTCATCCTCGCTCACAGCAACCTCAAACTCCTGGGCTCAAGCGAACCTCCTGCCTCAGCCTCCCGAGTAGCTGGGACTACAGGCATGCGCCACCATGCCCGGCTAATTTTTTCTATATATTTTTAGTTGTCCAATTAATTTCTTTCTATTTTTAGTAGAGACGGGGTCTCGATCATGCTCAGGCTGGTTTCGAACTCCTGAGCTCAAACAATCCGCCCGTCTCGGCCTCCCAGAGAGTGGATATGTTTTGTCCCCACCAAAATTCATGCTGAAATTCAATTGCCAATGTAATTGTGTTGAGAGGTGGTGGGTCATTAGGGATATGCCCTCATGGAGGGATACTGCAGTCTCATGGGAGTGAGTGAGTTCACAAGACGTGAAGTTCTACCTTGGATATACAGAATTTTTCCATTATCATCACCAAACACTGATTGGATATGTGGCGAACACTGAGAACATAAAGGAGTGTGAGAAAAGGTCTCGGGCTGGGGAGAGAAACCAGAGACTCCAAAAGACAAAACATCAGTCACTCAGCATCAAATGAGTGGAGGCACCTTCTGAAACCAGGGGCCTAATTCCACCTCTCACTCCCATGCCTTGAGATTTGGATGTGATTCTTAAATATGGTATGAAATGAAGCAGTGGCATGTAATCAATATCAGCTCCTTGGTTGATGTACACATGGTGCGTGATATTCTGTGACAACGTAAAGGCAGAGAGATTGAAAGCCTCTCAGGGTGACAAGTGTCAGCCAAGAAAAGGGCAAACAACAGGTGGCCAGAAAGAAGGGCCACTACTGAAGTTCCTACAAGCCTGGGCACCCTCCTCACCTGGGACCTGGCTGGGTTAAATTCAGACACTGCTGTCTTGTCTCTGGGTCTTTCTTCCTGGAGATGGGCTAGTACCTGGGGAACAGGCCCTGTAGAGAGAGGAGACAAGAGTCCTAAGTGAGACATGATGGCCTTTAAGAGTTGCCTTTGTTGGGAACCCAGCCTCCTCCACCAAATTTCTTATGTTTGTTAAACATCCATAAGTTAAGATGCAGATCTTGCTCTCTGAGATAGAGCATCACAACTGCTTTTATTCTGTCGAGAATTCTAATCTGACAGACCTTGGGTCTCTCACCCACAAAATTGACTGGGGTTTATGAACTCATAAGGTGCTTTACAGTGATGCACTTTTACACACATAAAGAAAAATTAAAAATCACAGATGAAAATAAAGAAAGGGGAGGAGGAAGCTGATAATAAAGGAAAGATCAAGCAGAGAATGGAGGGATGAAAGAAAAGACAGAGAGAGGAGAGAGACAAGGCAAAGGGGAAACAGGAAAGCAGAAAAAAGGAAGATGAAAGGAAATAAAGATGCAAAAATAAAGAGAAGAGATGTTAGCCATGAGCTAGAAGAGCCTTTGAGAATCTGCCATGTTAGGAGACACTGATCCCAAAGGAAACTACGATAATCAAAACAGTGATGATGACTGCACAGTGCCAGCCACTGTGTTGTTACTTAAAAAGATGATTTCCAATCCTCACAATAATCATAAAAGTCCAAATTATTGTCTTCATTTATCTTAGGTAGATTCAGAGGGATCAAAGCTGAGTGCAAAGTACACAGAAGTCAAACAGATAATTGTTGACTGACTAATTGAATGACCTATTAAATAACTTGCCCAGGTCACACAGTTGGCAGGTGGCAAAGCATGCATTTAAACCTCTAGAAGTCCTTCTTTGCTATAACTTTTCTTTCTGGACTCGCTTCCTCCTGTCCTGCAGCTTGAGGAGGTAATGCTTCTCTCAGTGCAGAGTGCCGGGAAAAGGGAGATGATGTATGCTGCAAAGTGGCTCTTCCAGGCCCCCAGTTCATATCACCCTTGGAATATCATGCTCTCTGTTTTCTACCATGAAGGACAATACTAAGATCTGGACTGCTGTAGCTACCACACAACAAAGGCAGGAGCATTCCCACAGTGCAGAGAGGTTACACAAGGCTCAGCTCCAGCCTGCTAAGTTTAGAAAGTGAATAATTCTAGTTCTAACAGAAGCTAAAGGCTGAGGCCCAAGGCTACTGGCCTCCAGCAAAGCATTGGCCTGCTCCTGAGATATACAGAATGAAGGCAGAGATCACAATCATTCAGATGCCAAAATACCATATCGCAATGTGAAACGCTTTTCCTCCTAAAATTGCTCTAATGCCTAAGCATCTAAAATTCAAGACAAAAAACAGTGTTCCTTGGATAATGGGAGGAGGCAATTTCGTAAACCACCTTAACCTAAGAAGAAGCACCTGAAATACTACAAAATCAGAGCTAGACTGATAAGACTGTAAGACACTGTGGTCAGGCATGTTTCATTTGTTAATTTTTGTATTTAAGGTTCATCTCTGAATACTGACTATAAGGGAGAACATCTGTATCTTTAGAAATTCAAATATTGTCAGAGTAGCCAGAGTTCCCTCTTTAAATTGTCCAATCATGGTTAGGGGTGAGGATGGGACTTCCTGAAAGAGATAGCTTTGAAATATCTAAATATGAGGAAAGAGTTGCCTGACAATGAGATCACAGACAGAGTAGACAGGTAGAGAGCATGGGCAGGAGAATTAAAGGCCAGAAAACAGCCATCCAAGATACCCAAAGGAAGTGAGAAAACCTAAACTCCGCAGAAACCAAAACAATCATCAGCATCAAACCTTAATTGAACATTGACTATATGCACAACAGTGTACTTGATGCAAAGAAGAGAGGTACAAGCTATGTTTTTTGCTTTCGATGTGTTTATAGATTAACTAGAGAAATAGAATGCAGATATAAACTGGGTTTGATATCAAAAGAACTGGGTCACAGTTACAGCTGTGTGACCTTGGGCCTGTCACAGCCTCTCTAATGAAATGAAGCAGTGGCATGTAATCAATATCAGCTCCTTGGTTGATGTACACATGGTGCGTAATATTCTGTGACAACGTGAAGGCAGAGAGATTGAAAGCCTCTCAGGGTGACAAGTGTCAGCCAAGAAAAGGGCAAACAACAGGTGGCCAGAAAGAAGGGCCACTACTGAAGATCCTAAAGCCTGGGCACCCTCCTCACCTGGGACCTGGCTGGGTTAAACTCAGACACTGCTGAATGTCTAAATCTCTAAATCTCTAATTCCTTATCTGTACAATAAGAACATAATCTACTTTACAGGGTTAATGAAGATTAAACGAGATAATGAACACAAAAGCCCCCTATAAAGTGGAAGACCCCACATAAGGCAAGGCATTATTATTTTTCAAGATAAGCAACAATACGAGGAGCACAAAGTTACCAAATGAAGAGCTCACATGGTAATTCTAACCCAAAATATAACATAGAACATAGATAGCATCATTTTTCTTTGTTCTGGACTCAATGGATCACAGTGGAATCTTTTTAGTGCTGTTGTTTCATTTCTAAAGGTAATATAGCTTGCTGGAAAAAACAGCCTTTCTCTAATTCACTTTTACTATGCCAAACCAAACAGCTTAAAGAGCACAGTGGTAAAATAAAGCAAGTCTGCTGATATAAAAAGGGCTAAGTTGAGAAGGGAGAAGGTGGCAACAGAAAATGGAAGGAGGTAAAGATATAATGCAGTGAGGAAAGAGATCAAAGGCAACACAATCTGAGAGAGCAAAGATCAGATCAGACCTGTGTTTGCTCCTGAGGTAGAAGGCATTAGAAGGGCCTTAGAGTTAACCCTGGGAAAGGAGCAAAGAAATGTTTTCAAGCATTTGAAAATTCATTACAAACAACACTTTATTGCTGTACATCTCTGCCAAAGACAGAACAGGAGAAAATGGGCTTAAGTTGCAATGAACCAGATGATATCTCAAGGTCCCTTTATTTCTCCATCAACATATCTGAACACTTAACAATGTATCTGACATTAAGAATCAATTATAATTGAGACTGGCAAAAATATTCAAGAGTTTTCATTTTATTAATAAATCTAGTATTTCATGACAGGTGAGAATGAAATATCATGCACATACAAATAGCAAGCACAACTACTAAAAATCGTATTTTTTATTTAAAAAAAGGGCTTCAAGGACACCCAATTTTATCAAAGCCAAGTTTGATGGAGTGTAAACTTCTTGGTTCCAATTTAAAGACCTCTAATATGGCCCCAACTAACTTCCCATTCCCCCTAATCAATCTTTCCCTAAAGAAACCCTACCCTCTAGCCATGCTGGTTGACTTATTATCTTTTGAAAATACCAGCATAGGAGGATGGGATGCAGCTAGGCCTGGAAAACTGATCTTCGACTCATCTGGTCTCAGGTAACCTGGAGAAATGTGCTGGGTTTATAACTACTAGGCAGGCCAGTCCTTAGTCAGAGTCTCCAGAAAATTTGGGAGGGCTAAGAGGTTATAAAAAGGCCTTCGGAATGAGTAGGTGTACTTTCTGAAGGACCAGAAAGTATCTTTAGAGTATCTTTATCCCCATATCATACATACCACTGCAGTGGTACATCCTCATGGGGGGCTTAGAGGATCAAGGGAAAACACCCCTCTGCCCAGGAGAATGCTGGAGTCCAGCTCTATGAGCCACGTCATGCAGTTTTTTAAGTCTTCACTTACATTAAAGAATCTTATATTCTACAACCACTGTTATCTGTCAATTACCATCACTATTCTGACAACCACTCACCTCCATTCTTCATTACCCCTCTCTCTTCTCTAATCCAAATGGAATAAAACCAATTTCAGCAGATACATGTTCATCATCTCAAAGGTAAATAAGAATGCTTATCTCATTTTTGCTCCACTCCAAATCCTGCCATCCTTCAAGGCTCAATACCAGGCTCACCACTCTGGGAAAGTTTTCCCAATTCCCAAGACTGTAGAGTTCTTTACCACCTATAAACTTCTTCACATAAATAAAACATTGGGGCTTCATGCAGCGGCGGATTTTTGTAACTGAAGAACTATAATAGGACAATCAGCCATGAACATAGGGAAATATCAAATTCTGTTTATGCTGCAAAGGGTAAATATCACAAATAATCTGAGCCCTATATATTTTATTTCCCTCTAATGTTCTCATATCATTGATTACATGAACCATTTATTCTGTCCTTACTATCCAAATATCAATATTCACAGATCGATAATATGGTCATTGGTAAACCAATCCCCTGAAATCATGTGCAGAATTTTTTATGTGCATGCATTTTCCAGGAAAGGGAGGCAATAGCTTTCAACAAATACTGGAGGGAAAATGGTAGCACCCTCTCTCCCTAAGAGTTAAAAATATTCCTCTATAAAGTTCTAAGGTCTCCTCTTTGAAAAGGAGTGTCTGGGCTGGTCCGATGGTAGTGGGTTATCAGAACTTATTAACATTCGTGTCACTAAAGTTGGTATTCAACCCCCCACTGCTAAATTTGACTGGCTTAAAAAAATAAAATAAAATAAATAAAAAGAAAAGGAGTGTCTGTGTGCTTTTGTATTCTTTCCTCAATGAATCTGCACACACAGACTTTGCATTCTTTGCATGGCTTACCCTACTGCCAGAGGCCTCCATAGAACTGAAATACAACCAACAGTTGGGATGCTTACCTAGAGAAGAAGCCCAAATATGGAAAGTGAGAAAGCCCTACACAAGGGTGGGTGAGCTCCAAATGGAGAGAATCTTTTTACACCTAAAGCTACATTTAAAATGATTAAAAGATTAGAAGCAGAGAGGATACTGAAGAAAATGTTACCATGGGGGAAAGGATAAATCTGTAGAATGTTATCAAACAAATATTTAAAACATCTATAGGTGTAGAATTAAAAATGTAGAATACAAACATGGTAGAGAGAGAGAGTTTTGGTCAAAAGTCAGGAGACTTAAATTCTAAAAGTGGCTCTGCCTCTGTTGACCTTAGGCAAGTTACTTAAACTTTCTGAATTTTGGCTTTCCTAACTATTGAGGATGTTGGTAAGAAGATCTTAGAGGCTGGGCGCGGTGGCTCACACCTGTAATCCTGGCACTCTGGGAGGCTGAGGTGGGAGGATCACTTAAGTTCAGCAATTCGAGACCAGCCTGAGCAAGAGTGAAACCTGGTCTCTATTAAAAATTGAAAAAATTAGCCAGGCATTGTGGTGCATGCCTATGGTCCCAGCTACTGGGGAGGCTGAGGGCAAAAGGATCGCTTAAGCCCAGGAGTTTCAGATTGCTGTGAGCTAGGCTGACGCCACTGCACTCTAGCTCAGGCAACAGAGTGAGACTCTATTTTGAAAAAAAAAAAAAAAAAAGAAAATCTTAGAATTCTAACATTTTACAATTCCATAAGTTTTAAAAGGTTTTCTTAGATATAGGGTTAGACAAAAAAACAAAACTTGATGTTGGTTAAAAGGTACAAACTTGCAGTTATAAGATGAATAAGTTCTAGAGACCTAAGGTACAGCATGGTGACTATAGTTAGTAATAATGTCTTGTATACTTGAAATTTGTGAAGACAGTAGATCTTAGGTATTCTTACTGTACACATACAAAAAGGTAACTGTGAGGAGATCGATATGTTAATTAGCTTGTGGTAATCATTTTACGATGTATACAAAAACTTGAAAACACAGATAAACAAGCTTCTACTGAGAAGATCAAGCTCCTGTCAATGGCCAGCTCCCAGTGTTCTCACTAAACTCACCCTCTGGCACTCACCACTCACTTCTTGGGGGTTCTCTTGGTGAAGCTGTGGAGGTTCACACTTCAGGGTACTTTCACCAGGCAGGAGCTGGAGGTTCTGACATTCCAAAGAGACTCCATGATAATCTGTCACCTCTAGGTGTATGTTCTGTCCCTGAATGTAGACAGAGGCCTACATTGAAAAGGATCTACCTTGAAAAGGCATCCTGGTGGGAGCTAGCAGTTAGGGATTGGGGAACACAGGACAAGCCACATTTAATCCTTTAAAGAAGCAGCAAGTAAGGCAGAAACATTCATTCATTCAGCAAATGTGGACTGCACGCCTACTAAGAGCCAGGCCCCGTTCTACATGCTGGGGATACAGCAGCAAACAAGGCAGACAAGACAGGCAAAGGATTCCTGCCCAGAACAACAAAAACAAAAAGCAGATGGATGTTTAAACTAGTTGGTGAAAGTTTAATAACGAATAGGATATACACACTGTCTCAAAATGTCTCCCATAGATTATTTAGTAATTACAAAGGGGAAAATGGTCACCTTCTACTGAAGAAATCTGACAGATACTGCAGTAACCTCCTCAGTGATAGGACAGATAGGACAAACCACCGCCATGAGCCTCCCGAAGTGATGCACTGAGAACCTACTATCACCTTTGTGGTGCCCTAGCCAAAATGTGCAACCTGGATCTAATCATGAGAAAATATAAGACAAACCCAAATTGAGGGGCATTCAAAAAGACTGGCCTTGGCCGGGCGCGGTGGCTCACGCCTGTAATCCTAGCACTCCGGAAGGCCAAGGCTGGAGGATTGCTTGAGCTCAGGAGTTCGAGACCAGCCTGAGCAAGAGCAAGACCCTGTCTCTGCTATAAATAGAAAGAAAGTAGCCAAACAACTAAAAATAGAAAAAATTAGCCAGGCATGGTGGTGCGTGCCTGTAGTCCCAGCTACCTGGGAGGCTGAGGCAGGAGGATTGCTTGAGCCCAGGAGTTTGAGGTTGCTGTGAGCTAGGCTGATGCCACGGCACTCTAGCCCAGGCAAGAGAGTGAGATTGTGTCTCAAAAAAAAAAAAAAAAAAAAAGATTGGCCTATACTGTTCAAAAATATCAATGTCACAATAAAGAAAGACTGAGCAGATATTCCAAATTCATGGAGACTAAAGAGACACAGCAACTAAATGCAATGTGTGATGCTGGCTTGTATTCTGGATTGGGGAGAAATTGCAATAAAAACACTATTGGGATAACATGGCAAAATCTGAATAAAAACTAGTGCTATATGATAGTATCATAACAATTTTAATTTCCCTAAACTTGATTGTCATATTCAGGTTATATAAGAGAACGTTCTTGATCTTTAGCAATACAGGTAAAGAGACGTAATGTCTGTAACTAATTCTCAAATGGTTTGAGAAAAAAAAAACCTGTATGTATATGTGTGTATACACACACATATGCATACAGAGCAACAGAGAATATGCACTTGTTTTCACAACAGTGTGCACGGGGTAGGGGGCGGGCACATCATGAAACAAATATTAACAACTCGTGAATCTGGGTGAAGAGTACACAGGATTTCTGTAAACTACTCTCCCAATACTTCTTTATTTTATTTTATTATTTTTTTAGATTTCAGAAAAAAGGTCTCGCTCTGCCACCCAGGCTTGAGTGCAGTAGCACAATCATAGCTCACTGCAGCCTCGAACTCCTGGGCTCCAGTGATTCTCCCACCTCAGCCTCCCAAGAAACTAGGACTACATCTTCCAATACTTCTGTAAGTTATAAATTATTTCCAAATAAAAAGTTAAAAATTAACAGATACATGTCCCCCATTTCTTCTCCCACACCACCACATACATTCTCTTCCTACCTGCTGTCCTGTGTCTCCACGTCCTGTCTCTAGATTCTCCAGCACTGTCACTACTTCCTCTCCGCTCTCCAGAGGATACATCTGCACACATGCCTGGAGCTCCTTGGGCAGGATGGTCAGGAACTGCTCGAGCACCAGTAACTCCAGGATCTGCTCCTTGGTGTGCATCTCTGGCCTTAGCCATTGATGGCAAAATTCTCGGAGTTGGGCCAGAGCTTCCCAGGGCCCAGAAGCCTCCTGGTAGCAGAATTGCCGAAAGCGCAAGCGGCAAAGCTCCTGAGTGTGGGAACTGCCCTCCTGTGCATTGCACAACTGCTCCCAGGTGGGATCTTCCTCCTTCACTTTTACAGAGCCATCTTCATTTTCAAGAGCAGGGCCTGGCAAAGCTTCATACATGTTGAGCTTGGAGGCTAGAAAAAGGTTCACTTAGCTAGGGTCTATGTTCAGAAATGTATATCTGAGGTATAAGAATTGATCAGTAATATGCAAATTATAAGAGATTCAAAACTCTATGTAATGTACTTATATTTTTGTCCTCCCTCTAGGTAAAGATCAAAAGCTGAACCTGCTTACCTCTATTGTCAGCGAAATTAATCAGAAACGTATCTTGAACACTAAAGGGGTTGATCCCTGAGGTTAGGGATGTGTAGGATATAAAGGAAGAAGGGTTAACAATAACAGTGCTTGAGCAGCTTACATGTTAGCTGGGGAGAAGGAATAATTTTACCCATTGAGTTAAATGGCTGCCTTCATGGACAAATAATACAGTCTCAAAGGTCATCCGTCTGTGTATCTCTCATTGAATATTCCACTTTAAATGTAGGTGTGGTTGACCATTTCCAAAGTCCCCCACCCTCAAATACCTTTTGTAATGAGATTTTGCCACTATTCTCATCAAGAGATGGAGTTTATTTTTCCTTCCCTGGAATCATGCTGGCCTATAAGTTGCTTTGACCAATCGAATATGGCAGAATGACATTGTAAGAGGAAGTGCCCCTGTAGCTCTTGGCACACTATCACTGAGACTGCCATGCTGTGAGGAAGCCCAAGCTAGCCATGCAGAGAGGTCCTGTGGATGAGAACCAAGACACCCAAGCTTAAGCCCAGCTGGGACTAGTGCTCAGATGATTCATCAGCTATATACAGCTGTATGAGCTATATGAGTAACTCTGGGTGAGATCAGCAGTAGTACTGCCCAGTCAACTCACAGAATTCTGAGAAATAAACAGCTGAGGTTATTTTCACCCACTAAATTTAGAGTTTTAATTTATCTTTGACGTGACAATGGATAACTGAAACAGTATACAACCATCGAGTTCTTTTTTTCTCTCCCTTCACTTATTTTCTCCTTTTGTGATCTCATTAGTCACAATTTCAATATATCTCTGTTCCAAGAAGACTCAAATCGCTGTCTGGCTCCAACTTGCCTTTCACACTCCAAACCCATATCTCAAAGCACCAGCAGCTGTGGGCCTCTCCTGCACTATAATTTCAACACAGCCCAAATTAAAATCAGTGTCTCAAAACTGCACTCACTTGGTATTTCTCCATTTCTACTGGCATCATCATCATCCCATGTATTCAGTCTTAAAACCAGACTTTATATACAATCAACTCTGAGTTCAGTCAATTCTTCGAAATGCCTCTTGCAGCCACGCCTTCCTTTTTATTCCTTTGTTACCATTTTCATTCGCTATTACAGTAATTTTCTGTGGGGTATTCCTGTCCACCTTCCCCCCCACCACCACCCATTGTCATTGGATTAATATTTCCTAAAGCACAATTCTGACTATACTCAACAAACCTCCAAAAAACGAGTTTTAATTAATCCTCATTGCACTAAATTCAAACTCCCCAGGAACTGATCTTTACTGGATTTTACCGGTTTGTTTGTCACTCAATAAACATTTACGGAGCACCTCATTATTTTCCAGGCATAAAGTTAACTCTAGAATAAAAGACACAGTTCCTACCTTTGAGAAAGCCATGGTCTTCCTAAATTCCTCGTGTGGCTGCCATTCTGAGTACTCAAATTTTTCTATGCACTTTATACTTTACAGCCAGGACCTCCCTTCTAACTGTAAATTCCCAAGATCCAGCGCAAATGACCTATGTAAAACATTCCCTGGCCAACCCCAAAACTAATGTGGAGCCAGGGAAAACTGTTTTGCTCTCTAAGCCACACAGGTGCAAATGGGGTGTTGCCACGGAAAACTGCACCACCACCCAATCTTGTATTACAGATACCCCACCCCCACCCCCGCTTCTTGAGGACGAGGGTTTATCTCTGCATAGCCTCTACAAGCCCGGTACGTACCTGGTATTCAACAAATATTGATGGACTTCTTGATGAATGCACGCAGACGTACCTGAGATGCCAGTAGCCAGGACAGTTAGGCGGGCCCAGAAGGTATCTGATGGAGATCACACCCCAGGACCTAGCACAGCGCTTGGCACACAGTGGGCACTCAATGAGTGCGTGTCTAATTGTTGTTTAATAGACCAGAAGTTCAGAGACGGTGCACAATAAAGACGTGGCCGACCTCGTGAAAGGCTCCCAAGGGAGCGCGGAGGCCCGGGGCTCCACAGTCGGGGGTGCCGGCCGCCTCCCCAGATCCCCGACCGTGGGCTCGCGGGTCTCGCCAGCTCTTCCTGTAGGCGGGCGGGGGGCCGAGGGCTTCGCCTCTCGCCTCACTGGCAGCCGAGTAGCGGTGTCCGGCCAGTTCCGTGCCTCTCTAGGAACGCGACCGCTCGTCTCTCTGGTGCGCCGGGCGGACCCCCTCTGCCACCTCCCGCCCGTCTCAGGCGTGTCTCCGCCGCCTGCTCGACCCCAGGCCCATCCGGAAGGCTCAAACACGCCCTGCATTTATGTAAATCATTTCAATTACAAACCACAGAATGGTGAAGACAAAGCCGAATCTCTGTCTGGGGTCATCACAGGCTGGTGGGAGAGACAGATCAATAAATAATTATAATACAGCAAGCACTACAAATTATTTTCTTTAAGCATACAGATTATATATGCACAATAAAAACTCAAGCTGCATAAAGACTGTAAAACAAAAAGTGTCCTTTAGAAACTTAGAGTTAAACATTGTTAATATTTTGTGTATATCTTCCAGGGACATTACCTGCTACATAGTAGCACTCAATAAACATTTTGTTTAGTGAATAAGTTTGTATATTTTACAACAGTTACGAGGTCACGATACAATTTTGCACCTTAGCTCTTTTCAGTTAAGATAGCTTGGAGATATCTCCATATTAACTTATTCTTTAACAGCTAAATAGTATGCTATCGTACGAGTGTACCATAATTTACTTAACTATCCCTATCAATGTATAATTAGGCTATATTTTTTCTTTAAAAGCAATACTGTAGGAAATACCATTCAATACCTTCACATTCTTTTATATTTCTAGGACAAATGTCACACATTATTAGAACTGATCAGTCAAAGGACACGGGCATTCAAAATTTTGATATGCAATTCCTTATTAATTTTTAAGGCACTTCCGTCTAAAATAAAAGGAGACTCTAATAGAAAAAAATCAATAAAGGAAGTGAACATGGTTATTCGCAAAATCAAGATCTTAAATGACCAATTAACATGGGAAAAGATGTTCAATTCAATAGTAAAAATAAAAATGTCCTTTTAAAAATAGACCCAGTATTTATCCATTCAGCTACTGAAGGACATCTTGTTTTCTTCTGAGTCTTGGCAATTATGACTAAAGCGTCTATAAACATTCATATTCATGTTTTTGTGTGGACATAAGTTTTCAGCTCCTTTAGGTAAATACCAAAGAGGGAAATTGGTGGATTATATGGTAAGATTATGTTTAGTTTTGTAAGAAACTGCCAAACTGTCGTCCAAAGTGAGTGTACCATAATTGCATTCCCACCAGCAATGAATGACAGTTCCTGTTGCTCCACATCCTCACCAGCATTTGGGATGGTCGGTGTTCTGGATTTGGGCCATTCTAGTAGATGTGTAGAGGTATCATTGTTGTTTTAATTTGCATTTCCCTGATGACAAGGATGTGGTGCATCTTTTCATATGCTTATTTGCCATGTATATACTTTATTTAATGAAGTCTGTTAAGGTCTTTGGCTTCCTTTTAAAATGTTTTCTTGTTGTTCAGGCTTGAGTTCTTTCTATATTTTGGATAATATTCCTTTCACAGACACATCTTGCTGTGGTATATTGAGACAATGGAATATTACTCAGTGCTAAAAAGAAATGAGCTATGGAGCCATGAAAAGACATGAGGAAACTTAAGTGCATATTACTAAGTGGAAAGAAGCCCATCTGAAAAGGCTACATACTGCATGATTGCAACTGTAAGTTGAGGATCCCTTATCCACAATGCTTGGGACCAGAAGTATTTTGGATTTCACATTTTTTTTGGATTATTTTCATATATATAATGAAATAGTTTTGGCAGGGGACCCAAATCTAAACATGAAATTCATTTATGTTTTGTATATACCACCATATATACACATAGCCTGAAGATAATTTTATACAATATTTTAAATAATTTTGTGCATGAAACAAAGTTTTGGCTGCATTTTGACGGTGACATGAGGTTAGGTATGAAATGTCCCACTTGTGGCACCATGTCAATGCTCAAAAAGTTTCAGATTTTGGAGCATTTCAGAACTGTAAATGACTTAAATGACTACAAATGGGGACATGTACTATAGAATATTGTGCAACTTATCTACAAAATTATCTTCCATGAAGATTATTAACGATCTGTGTGTCTTTTTTTTTTTTTTTTTTTTGAGACAAAGTCTCACTGTGTTGCCCGGACTAGAGTGCCATGGCGTCATCCTAGCTCACAGCAACCTCAAACTCCTGGGCTCAAGCGATCCTTCTGCCTCAGCCTCCTGAGTAGCTGGGACTACAGGCATGCACCACCATGCCTGGCTAATTTTTTCTATATATTTTTAGTTGTCCGATTAATTTCTTTCTATTTTTAGTAGAGACGGGGACTCACTCTTGCTCAGGCTGGTTTCGAACTCCTGAGCTCAAGCAATCCACCCGCCTTGGCCTCCCAGAGTGCTAGGATTACAGGCGTGAGCCACCGCGCCCGGCCTGATCTGTGTGTCTTAATCAGGGATTTATTTGTTTGTTTCTGAGGTTCAGAAATCCAGTCAAACTAACTTAAAAAGAAACCTTTATTGGAAGAGAATAGGAGTATTCCAGGGACTCCCAAGACCAGGATGTAGATGGATCTCATAAGCTGAGGCCTGAGGTTGTTACTCCTGAGTCTCTCTCGGCCCTCGTGGGATCTCTGCTTCAGGAGCTGGCTTCATTCTTTTGCTTCTCCATTTGTCTCTATTTCGTTATGTGGCCACAAAAATTGTTCCAGCTCTATATTACTTTTTGGTTAAAATGCCTAATAAAGACCAACCACAATCTGTGATCTAGTGTCAACTTCCTATGGGTATCTAAATGGCTAAGCCTTGCTTAGGGGGTTCCCTCTTTATCCAAGCATCAGTGGTCAGGGAGGGATCACATGGCAGGCTGCCCACTCAGGATCATGGCAGGACTGGACTAGAAAGGGGTGTGCAGATAAGCAAATTGACTGTCCTGTCTGCTACAAATGAAAACTGTTTATGATATAATTGAAGTTCAGTGAGAAAAGCAAAGTGTTTCTATGTGCAAAAAAAGAATAGGATCTCAAAATATATACGAAGTTATATCTGGACCATGAAACATAGTGATTTATTTTTATATTTTTCAAGTTTTCTTTACAATGCGTTTTTATCATAGACAAAATTTAATAAGAATGTATGAAGGTATTATAATGTGGACAATTAGGGTAATTTTTTCCCCTTATTTTTCCACACTATAATACTTTTATAATTGCAAGCTATGTAATAATTTTATCAGTTTTTTAAACAGGAGAGAGGGAAATGGAGACACAGAGGCTTTCCATTCCATTCTACATTTGGATATTACAGGATGCTACCCAAACAGAAATGCCTGATCAGAAGATACTGCAGCAATACATTCCTCCTGGGTCATTGTCCTCTGAATAGATTTTTAATTTACATTTTAGGGTGACTAGGGTGTCTTACAATGCAAGCAAAACCTTGAGATTTGTTATGACACTTGCCCTTTGTTCAATGTTTCTATGATTTTTGAGAAGGAAAACATTATTATTTAAATATACCTCTGACATTTATGCCCAGGTGAATATGGATCTGCCCCAAGTGGAATGATAACACCATTTCCTTTGGAGCTGTAAGAAAGAATTAGGTTGTCCCTGATGTCAGTGAATATATAATGTTTATACCTGTTCTACATAATCATCATGAAGAAAGCCAAGATAAATTTTCCAGATAACTAAGGGTATATAGTTCTTCATATTAGGAATCTTTTCATTTTCATTGCTTTTTCATAAGAATAATAAAGATATTCTATGTACTTTCCTTCTTAAACTGAACAGAGTCAAACAGTTTTAAACTATGACATACAGCTAAATGTTTAGGTACTGACCTTAGCATAGCCCTCAAAATACTTGGGGGAAAAATTCCTGCCATCAATTTAATTTTAGTCATAAAGGCAGAGTAAAACATACATAGTTTTATGGCTTCCTAAGCAACAGACTATGACTGACTTTATATGAAATCTTTTAGTGTTTCAAAAAGTTATAGCTCCTCCTACAGATTTGTTCTCCCTTCAAAAAATGGTATCGACTGCTGCTTCTGGTCAGCTTGCACCCAGTCAGATTAGAGTGGGAAGGAATAGGAAGTGGGCCAAAGACTGCTAACTGTCTAATTCAACATTCATTCTCCCTTTTATCCTTAGTGACAGAGGCCTAATTTTCAGCCGGGTACTCTACAACCCAGAATAAGGCTCACTTTCTAGCCTTCCTTTCCGAAGTTTTGGCCTATGATATATGTGCTAAGACATTCTTGGAGAGGCTGCCCAAAGGGAGCTGACTGAATTGGGAGGAACCTCTTTTTGTCCTGCCTTTTGTCAACATTTTACATGTGATGGCTGAAGCTTCGGCAGTCATCAAAGACAGACTGATTATCTCTGCCTTTTCTGTTGGAAAGAAAAATAAACTTTTATGAAGTCACTCCTATTTTGTTGTTGTTGTTTTTAAACTATATGTGCCGACCTAGTCCTAATCAGTACATGAGGGTTCACCAATCTTCCCACATTGGCAGACTAAGAAGTCTTCTCCAAACAGCAGTACTCTATGCAGCTGCTACCAATCAGTAAGTGATGCTTATCATCCTGGTGATGTGTTTTGGAGTGGACTCTCTTAATATTCCTCATCATTACCATGACATTCTGGTATTCATGATATAAAGACCATGATCTCCTCTCCAAGGTGACTTTATTGTTTTAATTTTCAAAGAATTCCAGAACAAGCAATATTTTAAAATTGCATCAATATTAAAGGAAAAAAGTCCAATTTCTTTCATTGGACATTTATTGAATAGTGTCCATGCAGCAGCATCTATACTGGCACTGGAGTTACCAAGTAAGACAGTTGCTACTTGGATTAATTCAGCACAGTTCATTCAAATGACTCATGAAATCTCTTCCATAGTCTAAGTAAACTTTGATTTATAACTTGAATCATAAGATAATGTGGTGGGGATGGGGGTAATAATAATGGGAAATGGTAAAATTACATGAAGCTAACCAAGAAGGCAAGTTCTATAGTTAGCCAGCAAAAGATTATCTTTGCTTTCTAAAATGTTTCCACTGATTTTGGGTGAGGGAGCACAAGGGTAAGGTCAGTGGGAGGAATGGTGTGAAGCCAGTAGGGGAAAATGCCCTCATTAACCTGTACTTTAAGACACCTTTGAGAGTGGTATATTTCCAAATATCATTAGTCTTATTTTATAGGAGTCTGCTACTATAGTATATGCAAAAATACCAACCTGCCCTTGTTTTGCTTAAGCCTATAAATCTGTGGACCCTTGATTCACTACTGACTTAAAGCCTTCACTCAGTCATGAGGCTCTCTACTGCTTAGAGATCCATAATTACGCATTTATTATGTTAAAGACTCTGAAGTCCTGTGGTGAAGAATGCTGGTTAACCTTGATCCCACAGTACCATCTAGGGTGAAATTGCCATTGTCCAAAATTGACTTCAAGGAAAATAAAGCAGAGGGAATGGAGGCAGACGGCTTCCAATTTGGCCTCCAAGAATGCTCTGATGCCAACATTAGCTAGAGTGACTTCTCTTAAAGTGCTATTTGTTTGTCAATGTGCCCTCTCTGATGTTCTACAAGGAGAAAACACCTCATCAAGCCAGTTTGTCTTTATGGTGATATCTCTGATGTTGAAAAAGACCTGATCTCTGCCTGAAGGCTTCTCCACATTTATTACACTCAAAGGGTTTTTCTTCATTGTGGATTCTTACATGCTGAGTGAGGTGTGAGTTTAATCGGAAGGCTTTCTGGCATATGTTACACTTGAAAGGTTTTTCTCCAGTGTGAATCCTGTGGTGTCGAATAAGGTCTGAGGTCAAACTGAAGGCTTTCCCACACTCGTTACATTGATGGTTTTTGGAATGACTATGGATTCTCTGATGATGGGTGAGGAGTAGAGCCTGACTAAAGGTTTTTCCACACTCCTTGCACTCACAGGGCTCCTCCTGACTGTGAATTCTCTGGTGTCGATTAAGATGAGAGCTGCGCCTAAAGTTCTTTCCACAATGGATACATAGATAAGGTTTCTCTCCAGTATGGATTCTGAGATGTTCCAAAAGGCCTGCATTCTGGCTAAAGACTTTTCCACACTCCTTGCACTGATAAGGCTTCTCACCAAGATGGATTTTCTGATGTCTGACAAGGTGTGAACTCCTCTGAAAGGCTTTCCCACACTCATGACACTGATGACTTTTCTCTCTAGAGAGGATTTTCTGATGTCGAGTAAGGCCAGAACTCTGACAAGCTTCAGATTCATAGAGCTTCTCTCCCGTGTATACACTCTGATGTTCAATCAGGTCCAAATGCTGGATGAATCCCTCTCCACATTCTGAGCATTTGTAGTCAGTCTCCTCGGGCTTGGCCAGTTGCCTTTCCAAGTTATACTCCTCATAATGAGCCTCCATGGGTTCAGAGATTTTCCCAGAAGATTCAACTCTTCCATAAAAGTCTGTCACTACAACAAGCTTCCAATTCTCAATCCTTGTCTCCTCACCTGAAACATTAAATATATAATACCAATTACTTGTTTTTTGATGCTTAGGGAAAGGAATCTACTAAGAGGAAAAATTTAAATCAAGCCATGTGTGCAAATTAAAAATGTTGTAGATGCTTGTGTTTGCATAAAATATATGTGAAGTGATACACAAGAAATTGTTAACTGTGATTGCCTTTGGGGAAGGATGGGGATTGTGGAGGGAGGTAAATTATTTTAAATGGCTTAAATTTTATCAAGTGATACATACCATACACAGAGAAGCTAGTAAGCAAGCGAACCAACTGTCTTAAAGGGCATGACTGTATATTCTTGAAAATGATTTATCACATGGAAAATAAAAAAGCTAGGTTAATTGAGGACCCTAGGCCAATAAGAGAGGGATAGCATTTTAACTAAAAATGAAGAAATGTAGATGTGGTGCCAATTTTATCACTGACTATGTAATCTTAGAAAGGTAATTTAAATCCTTTGGGCTCAGTGTCCTCATCAATAAATTAAAAACACTGGATCATAAGATCTTGAGAGTAACATGAAGTTCACAAAAATGCCTTGGCCTTTCCCAATCCCCTTGGACAGCAGTAACTGCTTTCCTAAGTGGTTCAACACATCTTTTCTATCCCAATGCTGTAATAATTTGTTCATAAGTCCGTTTCTCCCCCTTCAACCTCCAATGTTCCAAGAGACTATAAGCACATGCAGAGCAGACTTTGTTTTCTTTAGCACAGTGACTAGTACATAATAGAAACTAAACAAATGTTTGCTAAATAAGTGGCCTGTGTCTTAAGGGTGAAATTAAAAAAACATGAAGAAATACCTAAGCTCAGACACACAAGCAGAAGGGTGAGAAGGATGGGCAAATTGGATAAGTCTTTAAAGGCTAGGAGCATGAATGGAGATGCAAAGTCAGAATGAGAGAGTAAAAGGGCAGCTGGAGAAAGAAAATAGATGAGAGAGACTCTAAGCAGCACCATTAACAAACAAATGAGGATTAATCAGTGTGAGCAAGATAAAGTCAGCAGATAATTAAAAAAGAGAGAGTGGATGAGAGCCAAAAGTGAAAGTGAAAGTGAGGGATTAGTAAGGAGATATAAGAAAAAAATCAAGTCACATGTGGGGAGTGGCGAGATTAAATAATGCAAATAATAAACTGTGTGTAAAGGCCCTCTGCAACAGAATGAAGTAGCCCCTACAATGAGGGCAGGAAGTGAGAGATTAAGAGAACAGAATAGGATAGATTCTTTTGCAGTAATAATGTAATGGCATATATAACTAAAAGGAGGGAGAAGGGTTGAAATTAAAAAACAGCCTTAACTTTAAATATAAAATAACACTTTCAACAAATCCAGGGGGTAAAGAACATTTTCAAGAATCTACTGTCATTTCATTCGCTTTATATTTAAAATACATACCTGTCATTGATTACATGGCTTAAGTTCATTTCTGCAAGGCTATTCAGAAAAGGTAGGCCCCTTTCTTTCAGCTTCTTTATTCAGAAGGCTCCCAGAAGAAGGGGACCTTTGAAGTCGAACAAGGAAGTAGGCAGAAAGTAAAGCATGGCTTTAGATATAAAATCAGCCATTCATCAAATAAACATTTATTGATTATCTACTCTAGACCAGGGACTGAAGCAGACTCAGGAAACAAGATAAAGCTCCTGTCCTTTTAGTCTGGCAGGAGAAAAAGAGAAGTAAACTAGTAACTATAGTATAATGTGATTAGTTCTATGACAGAAGAAATCTTGGAGCTCTAAGAGCATAGATGGGGAAACTAACTTGGACTTGGGAGACTTAGGGAAGGGTAGAGAAAGTGATATCTAAGATAAGTCTTGAAGGATGAGTAGGAATTAGGGAGAGTAAGAAAAACACATTCCAGATAGAAGAAACGGAGCAGAAGAGACTCAGAAGAGAGAAACATCAAGGAGCAAATGGAATGTATATTGGCATCATGGGAATACACAGTGTGAGCAGGTGGGACATAGTGTGACTACCTGTCCCAATTTGTCTGGGAGGACTGAGGAAATTCCCAGGACATGGAACTGTCAGTGCTAAAAGTCTCAAGAAAACTAGGACTTGAGAAGACATGTTTTCTCAAGAAAACATGAGGCTGAGATGTAAACATACACCAGAACATGCTCTGTGAGCCTGTGTTAAAGGCTACTGGGAGTCAATGAAGGTGGTGATTTTTTTTCTTACTTTTATTTTTTCCTTTTTATTATGGAATTTTTCAAACATCAAAAAAAGTAGAAAGAATAACAATACCCGACTCTGTGAAGGGTTTTAAGGAAGGGAGAAACATTGATGAATCTGCATTTAAATGACGGAGACTGAAGAGGAGGTAACTTAACTTTAATGGAAGTACCAAGGTGACACTAAAGCAAAAAAAAAAAAAGAGAGAGAGACTGTATCAGACTAGAAAGAAGAAAAAAAATGTAAGGAACAGAAATTAGACAGAGGAATTTCAGTGACAAAGAAAATATAGTAGAACAAAAAAAGAAATCCAGGTGACATTTAGAAATAAAAGACAGTAGCCATTTATAATAATTTGAAAGAGATAAGAAAAAATGAGTAATGAAGCATATGGCTGGGATTCTTTGCCTTCGGTGAGAAACTAGCACTACTTTTTTTATTTATCCCTATAGCAAGGAGAAAAGAGCAGGGCGAAGGTCTAGATTCCCTTTGTACCCTTTCCTTTGGTGTTTTATCCAACTAAAATGTTTGGGGTGATAGAATCTTGTATATCTTGAAGACCAACCATAATTAATTCACATTTGTGAAAACGCATTGATATGTACAATTAAAAAGAGTGAATTTTACTATATGTGAATTATACTTCAATAAACCTGACTCAAAAACAAAACACAAGGATGATCAGCAGGGCCTCAGAGGGAACCACACAGCCCACCTCATCTCGCACACAAAAAGATGCAATCCAGTTCTTACCCTTCTCTTTCTCAGGCTTTGAAACTTCACACTCAGGCTGAACCTGCTGCGCCTGCACTGCTTTCAGAGGGGCTGTCTCCTCCACAAGCAGTTTTGTTTCTTTGCCTGTCTAGGTCCTAGGGACAATTAGGTACATGTAGATACAATTAGGCACATGTGGGTTTAGGAAACTGCTGTTCAGAAAAACAAACATTAGAAAAAAAAAAACAAAGAGAAACCCCAGAGGGGCAGGGAAAAGGGGTTGAGGAATCGGGAGCACAGTCAGTTTCCTCTGGGGAGGGGACAGGCAAGGTTGAGGTGAGACCTACAGAAATGAACAGATGGACTAGAAAGAAACCAAACCAAAGCTTAGCAATTTCCTTCCTACTGGTGAGTTCACATTCACCTGTCCGGCAAGAGATCTCAATTTGTGCTTTCCTGCAAAAGAGCACATCTGACCCTTACCACCTGTTGTCCTGTTTCTCCAAGCTCCAGCTGCAAATCCTCCAGAATAACAACCATGTCCTCTCCGCTCTCTGGGTGATGCTCCAATAACCGGGCCTGAAGCTCCTTAGGCAGAATGGTCAGAAACTGCTCCAGCACCAGTAGCTCTAGAATCTGCTCCTTAGTGTGGGTCTCAGGTTGCAGCCACTGTCGACAGAGCTCTTGCAGCTGGCTCAGTGCTTCTTGAGGTCCTGTGGTCTCTTCATAGCGCAACTGCCTGAATTGTTTGCACAATGGCTCCTGTCCAAGGCCTTTGCTGTTTCCTTGCAGCTTGAATCCCTGTTCCCTCACTACCTGAAGCCCCTCCTTCTTCAGATTCAGGGGAGCCAGGGAATGGGCACTCACCAATGCTGTTGCCATCCCGAGCTTCGGACTGCTCTCTCTGTTTCAGAGAACTTTCTTTTGACTGTATCCTCAGGGATACTCCTAAAATTATAATAACAAGAATCACAGAAACAGTAATAGTAGTAGTAACAACAGCAATAACCCCTTCTTGGGTTTATACATTTCTTGCTATCCATTTATTTTTCTCTTTAAAACAACCACTCCTAAACACACATACAAAATGAAAAAAAACCCTGTTTTACAGAAGATTGGCAGCTAATGTAGTTGGAATAATAGAATCGAAAAATCACCACTTTGCAGCCCTCAAAATGACTGATTCAGTCAAGAATCGTAAATGGTTGCTAAAACCACTGGGTGAAAGGAGTGGGTGAAGAGGACATTCTCGTAGTCTCAAAGAATACCATACTGATTGCTTATTAATTACAAAGGGAAAAAATGGAGATTTCTGGCAGTTGAAAACTTAACGAAATAACCAAACTTAGCAACACTAAGACAACTGACATCATGTGCTTTATCATCCATGTACAATTTTTACTAAAAATGTTTAACATGAATCTAATAATGAAACTTTCAGATAAATCCAAAATGTAGCACAGGCATAGACTCTTCCAAATAATCAAGTTTATAAGAATAAAAAGAGGGTATGGGAAGGTTATTGTTTAGATTAAGGAGACACAACTAAATGCAATGTGTGAAATTCGGCTCTTGCATTAGAAAAAAAAACAGCTAACAATATTTTTTGAAGAATTCAGAAATCTGAATATGAAAGATATATCAGAATGGAGTAAGCAAACTATAGCCCAGCAGACCAAATAAAGCCTGAAGCCTGTTTTTCTATTCCTTTACTGGAATACAGCTACACCCATTTGTTTAGATATGTTTACATCTGCTTTTGCACTACAGTGGCAGAGTTCAGTAGTTGCCACAGAGATCATATCACCTGCAAAGCCAAAACCATCTTCTATCTGGCCTTTTACAGAAAAAGGTTGCTAACCCTTGATATAGAATTTTCTCAGATGGGATAATAGTTTCATGGTCATGAAAGAGAATATCCTTATTCTCAGGAGATGCATGCTAAACTACTTTCAAATGTTTCAGGGAAAAAAAGTGTGCATGTGAAGAGAGAGAGTACACAAATGTAGCAGGAAGTTGACAATTGCTGCTACATGATGGGTATATAAGTATTAATTGTACTATTCTTTTAATTTTTCCGTAAGATTTAAAAATTCTCAAATTGTTAAAAGGAAAAAAGATACAAAATAAATATAACCATTTAGATGTTCTTTAAACTTGATATCAGAATTAACTAAAAGAAGGTAAGAATATTCATAACTCATCTCATTTACTGATTATCTATTATGTACCAGACCCTCTTAGTTACTGGAAATACAGAGACAAAAGACAATTCCGTGGTCTCTACAGCTCTCTGCTTCTCAAGAAATCTTGAGTGACTTAGCAACTGTACTTCAGTGACATAATGAAGGTACGCACAGGATGCTAGCAGAGCACCTGTGAATGGCAAAGCAGCTCATTCTCAGAAGCAGGTCAGAAAAGGATTCTAGGAGGTGAGTCCTCCTGAGTTTTAAAAGACAAGTGAGAATTAGTCAGACAAGGAAATAGGAAAAGGGTTTTTCATACAGAGAGAAAAGTGTAAAAGCTGTCTGACATTCAGTGTAGTAGGTTCAGTGTGGTAGTTAGTTATAGCTGGGAAAAGATTACATGGGCTGGAATCTTGGGAAACACCTACACCTAAGGAAGAAAAGTAAGATGCAACAACCAGAGAGGTAGGAGGAGAACAAAAACAGCAGTACAAAGAAGGCCAAGGAGGTCTATCTCTGTAAGTGTGTAGGGGTAGAAGGTGCCTGGGCCTCAGACAGGCCTGAGTTCCAATCCAGCCTTACCACTTACAAGCTGTCTGACCTGAGGCAAGTTACTTACCCTCTTGGAGACTTAGTTTACCCATTTGTAAAATGAAGATAATATCAAATTCACAGAGATTTTGAGGTAAATGACATAATAATTGTAAAGAATAGGAGGAATTCATCGATTTATAAGTGAAATTATAAGGAGGCAGTGCTTACGAGTGTGAAACGCTATAAGAAGGTGGATTAATCTAAGACCTGACATACTCACTTGATTCAAAACACAGATGCCATTGGTCACCTCTTTGAAGACAATTTTGGTAGTAAAATGGGGAGAACAGCCAGTCTGCCATAGGAAAATGGAGACAGCAAAAATTCTTCTTTCAAAAAGTAAGACATTCAATGGAAGAGAGAAATAGGGCAGAAACTAGGTAGGGATAATACACACTATGTTTGTGACTTAAGTTACTATCTTTATGATGATGATTTCCTTATTTTTCAGACCAGGTATCTTGAGTGTCAGACTTGAATTTCCCTCTTCCTATCTGGTACCTGCATACCTTACAGAAGCGTCTCAAACTCAATATGTCAAAAATGAATTTGGAGAATTCCACCATCGTCCCTTGGAGCAGGCCTTTAGCATTCTTGATTTTGACTACTCTTGACTCTATAGATTAGTGAAATAGGATCTGCCAACTGCTGATACATGCCTTTGAATGGATGTGCATGTAGGGAGTGGAGGTGGGGCAGGCTGGCTCACTCAATTAGTAGCTGTGCTTGGCTAGGCTCCAAATACTTCTCACTGCTATATATTCCTGAATGCGTACATAGTAATACTCAACAACTGATAGTTATTTTTTCTTTGTCAAAAACGGACTTAAAATTTTAAAAGCCAAATCCTAGTATTCTTAATGGAAGTGAAAAAGCCCAAGAAAGTGATGACTATTAGCCAGAAAATAAAAGTTTGGTATTGTGATGGTTAGAAGTGTCAACTTAACTGGGCCACAGGGTACCCAGATATTTGGTCAAAGATTATTCTGAATGTTTCTGTGAAGGTGCTTTTAGATGACATTAACATTTAAATCTGTAGACTATAGAATGAGTAAAATAGATTACCCTCCATAATGTGAGTGGTCCTCATCCAATTGGGTTAATGGTCTAACTAGAACAAAAAGGCATGGCCGGGCATGGTGGCTCATGCCTGTAGTCCTAGCACTCTGGGAGGCTGAGGCAGGAGGATTGCTTGAGCTCAGGAGTTCTAGACCAGACTGAGCAAGACTAAGACCCCATCTCTTTAATAAAATAAAATAAAATAAAATAAAATAAAATAATTAAAAAAAAAAAAAGAACAAAAAGGCTGATCCTTCCCTGACTAAGAGAATTCTTCCTGTCTAACAGCCTCCAAACTGAAACATCAGCTTTTTTCTTACCTTCAGACTTGAACTGAACCAGCTCTTTCTGGGTCTGCTGGCCTTCAGACTGGAACTACAACATCAACTCTCCTGGTTCTCAGGTCTCTGGGCTTGGACTAGAACTAAACCATTTGCTCTCCTGGGTCTGCAGCTTACAAAGTCACTCTGAAGATGTTAAGACTTGCCAGCCTCCATAATCACGTGAGCCATTTACTTATTATAAATCTCTTTCTAGATATCTATCTTTATTGATATAGATATCCTATAGATATCCTATATCTCTAGAAAAATTTTGTTTCTCTAGAGAACCCTAATACAGGTATACAAGATATGATGTTTAATTAGTGGTGGCTCATTTCTATTATGTGATTAACTATATATCGAAAGCAATATAGAATAAAAAATTTGATAAATGTTTTTTAGGGGAGCTCCATACCCAGCTATTTGAATCAGAAAACTGATCATTCCTTCCTTCTTTCATAACTCATTATAAATAGAATCAATCAAGTTCTATTGATCCTATTACTTAAATATCTCTCAAATTCATCCACTTCTCCTCATCCCCTTTGCCACCATCTTCTACCCAGACCACTGTGACTGGTCTGGGTCTATTTCCCACACTGCGAATGGTGATCATTCTAAGGCGGAAAGGAAATATTATTATGTTTCTGCTGTGCCTCTTACATACAATAGCTCATCATTACCCTTACGATCAAGTTTAAAACATTTAATATGATTTAAAATTTTCTTGTGATCTAATGAACTATTTAAACTTGCAATACTCTTTCTTGCTCCTGGGTCCTTCCACAGTTTAGACCTTCTGCCTGGAACACCCTTCAACCCTCCAATTGTCTTCTTGCTAATGTCCATTCACACTTCATGTCTCAGCATAACAATACGCCAGAACTGTTCTACATGCTTTATGCGTATTAATTTATTTAATCCTCACACAATCCTAAAAAGAAGATACTATCACTAACCTCGTTGTACAAAAAAGGAAACTGAGACATGGAGAGTTGAAGAACTTACACAAGGTCCCAAAACTGAACCTCAGATCTTTCCTCCAATATCTCTTACATCCATAGGTCAAAAACCTTGGATTTATCTTTGTCTTTTCTCTTACTTTCACATCCTACATCTGATCCAGGAGCAAATAGTGTTGGCCCTACTTTCAAAGCAGATCAATAATCTGACCACTGGCCCATGATATCCTTATCTACCATCTGAATTACTCGCAACTTTTTGGAATTACTCTTAAGTTTTCCTTATCCTGTTCTTGACCCCTTTACAATCTATTCTCATCATGAGTTCCCAGGTAAAGATGCTTTAAACCATAAGTCAGATCACGTTTTTTCTCTGCTCAAAATCCCCTAAAGACTCACACAAAGAAATGACAAAATTCCTCATACAATACAGTGCTCATTTATTCTACACGCCTTCCCCAACATCCCAGTCTCTTACAAGCTTTGCCCTTGTTCACTGCCCTCCAACCACTCTGGTCTCCCTGTTATCCCTCAAACATGCCAAACAAGCTCCCATTTCAGGGCTTTGGCACCGCGGTTACCTCTACCTAGAAAGTTCCTGCCTCCAAAAGCCACACAGGTCTTTTCACCTCCTTCAGGTATCTGCTCAAATATTACCTTCTCAGTGAGGCCTATCTTTAATACCTATTTAAAATTGTGATCAATATATGTAAAATATGCAGCAGAAGGTTGTGCCCGGTTAACTTGATCCACAGGTTTATCCTTCTCGTAGGCCTCAGAACTGACACCTCCCGCCCCGAACCCCATCCCTAGTACGCACGGCCTCTCGGTCCAGGGAGACTTCTCTGCACCTGCCGGGAACTAGCTGTTTCCTCGTCTCCTAGGCCGCAGTTCCGCCCCAGCTCAGAGCCCAGTCCGAGGTCCAGCTCACCCGTCCAAGGTCCCACAGGAGGAGCCAACACTCTCTGGCACCGCCTGACATCCTTGCCGACGGTCTGCTCCCACTCTCCGGAGCACGTTTGTCTACGCTCTAGGAACACTGGAGGACCACGGCTCGATGGTGTCCTGCTACGCCTGGCGGAAGAGGGATAAGACCGGCCCTGCGCCTGCTGTGATCGGTTGGCTGGGATGGTTGTGCCTTCTTGAGCTTAGGTTTGTTTTTGTTTTTTTTCCCCCTCATTTTAAAGGCGAAATTTATGTTACTCACGTAGAAACAGGCCAGCTCAGTTGAGTGTTATCACAAAGAGCCAAAACATTTCCACTTTCCTCACTGACATAAAACACAGACACATACTTCACCATTTCTTCCCAATTTAAAAAATATCAAACACAACGGCAAAAATAAGTGTCAAAGTATTTTGAAGATTAAATTGAACAATGGATATATATTTGGTTTACGGTAATAAGAAATTAAGTCTATCTGTTACTGTGGGAAAAAATAATCAACAATCCTTTTCAATGAATGTACGTTTTGGGGGGAGGGGGACAACTATCAAACACTTTACAGCAGAGAACCAAAGTAGTCTCTCTCTTGCCCACCTTATCACAAACTGTTTTTACAGTCTTTGAATAAAATAAACCCTTTTAAAAATCTGAACAAACTTTTCTGTTTAATCAGTTGATAAAAGTTTTGAAATATTAAATATCATACAAACCATTGTACTATGACAAATGTAATTCAGTGTTTCAAGCATTGAAACTATCATAACAGAAAAGAAAAAACAACCAGTGTCATTATCACCAGTAATCTTTTCTCCTTGGATGTCAGAAAATATCTTTTAAAATTTAAATATATTTAAAACTTTTCATTAGGCTAACAAATCCAGTCAATATAAATATTTCACTAATTAGGAATTAATATTCTTTCTTAAAGGGAAAACTAGTACATCTGATTTAACTTTTTTATCTCTAAGGAAGAGCCTATTTTTCAAAATTATATAAGGGATAAACATAAATAGAATTTAATTTTTTAAAAGGAAGTAAATATTATACCCTAATTGACATACCCGCCTCTAAAACTTCCTACCATGGCTAGCTTCTTAAATCCGTCACTCCTATTATCAAGGCTGAGATTGTTGGCATTGCATTAGATATCCCATGAAAATCAAAACTCTTAAAGTAGCTAAAACAAAGACTTTTTTAAAACTTCAAGGTGTGTGTTTTTAATTTAAATAGTCTGTATCTTTTGAGAAGGGCAGGGGTAGATAAGGTGAGAATAACTGAAAATAACCATTTTTACCAGGACAGACTATATATTGCTAATACAAATCAATTTTCAAACTTGAGGTTTTCATTTCCCAGGATTATACTTATCTTTGTAAACTACAGTGATTATGTTTTCATCAGGTCCAGTCATAGGATATTCAAGACAAAAACTGTCTTTTCCATATATATCATCAGTAGAGGCACTATTGCATTGTAAGTCATGCCACTATGCACTATATTGTAGCATAGATTTACAGTTCTTATCTTTTTGTTATCATGCTTCCTGCTCTTCTTTCTGCTTCCACTCACACAGCACAATCTCATTCTTTACTATGGATTTTTAAATAGAATATTATGTGGCCAGTGATTGTTCTAAACAATCAAAACCTACAAATGAATCTAATAAACTTAACCTTAATACTGGGAAACCTATAACTTTAAGTCATCGTATTAATAGGCTAGTAAAGAGAAACCATATGATCTTCACAAATGCTACAGTCATGTAATAAAACTCAAGATGCATTTCTGATTAAAAGGGGAAACTCCTAACAAAAAAAGAAATGGATGGATACTTTCTTTATAAGGCAAAAATAAATATATCTCAAATACACTGAATGCTTCCCTTATATTTGATGGTGAAATCTCAGTAGTACCTCCCACAAAAATCTAGCTGAATTTGTTAGGCTAAGAATAAAAAGACAGCAATTTTGCTAAATCTGTTGATTTCTTACTCCCTAAAGTACTGATATAGTTAAGAATAAGAAACACCTTCCCTTGTGCTACAGAACTTAAAAAAATACACACACACACACACACACATATATTTTATATATATTAAGCAAAGGCATTCAAG